GATTACAAGACGGCAATATTAATTGCTGAACTATCTTTTTTTAACTATGTAGTTTTAATATTTGAAGTATAATTTCAATGAGATGCTGCAATTATGTTATTTGAAGTAGACTTTTAATATGATGCTGCATTGATAATATACAGAATAATGGCTACTCAGTTTTTTTTTCAAATCTGAGTTTAGCTTTATATATCTGTGTTGTTTTTGAAATATTTAGTTTTTTTAAGCCTAAAAACTTCATAAAATATGACTTTGAATTTCTTTCTTTATAAACAGAAATGAATATTGGAGAATGAAATTGACTTTTTGCAATAAAAATTCATGATCTTGCTTTTTCTGTAAAATATTCTATATTTATATTGCACAGACATTGAGAATAAAATATTTAATTTTGAATAAAATAGAAAATGTCAAGGAACATGTTTCTTGTTTTTATGCGAAATTTGTTTAGTTATAAATGATGCATTATAACACGGAAGACTCGGAGGGCGGGAGAAAGGCAAGGGGGAGGGGGGGGGGAGATTGTTTCGCCCCCTCACTGAACTTTAAATTTTTTACTTTCATCACCACCCTCCCTTCAATACAAAAATTAACGACCATATTTTGTAAAAAAAAAACTTTCCCTCTACATATAAATGTTAATAATATATATTTATTTTTGCATTGTTTTTTTAATTTCAAATAAAAAGTTGTAACAAAATGAATGTTTCTGAATGTTTTTTCCAAATATATTTATAATAGTTTAAATATATATTTTTATAGGAATTAACAGGCATTACATACATTTTAAGCATAAAAGTTTATTAAATCAAATTGCCAAATGTAAATGTTACTGCTCGTATAAATATATAAAGATGGCCTTTATATATATTCATTCATCATGCAATTGCACGGTGCACCTCCATTTTTCTTCTCTAAGGGAGGGGGGGGGGGCACAAGATTTCCCCATTTTTAGAGTTTTAATCATACCTTAAGTAGACTTACGATAATTTCGAGAGGGGGGTGGGGGAGAGAGAGGGAGGGAGAGAGAACCATACAATTTTTGATCTCCCCTTGGCCAAAAAAGTTCCCCTCTGAAATTTTAGAAAGGTTATACAGCTTGGAAGCACAGCTTCACCTGGAAACTTTGAAGTTGTCTGAACAAGGTGCTCGTAAAGTATTATAATAGAGTTAATGTTAAACTTTGTATCGAAGTGTATTTATGCGTCTGTTGAGAGGTTTAGACGGAGCCTGGCTCATCGGAGTAAATGCATCGGAATTTCACAGAGTAAAAGGGCTACCGGAGAAACAGAGAGTGTCAGGTTTCATTTCTTTAGTTTAGTTAAAACCAGGATAGGAGGAGGAGGAGGTTAAATTCTTAGATTAGTTGAAACCAGGATAGGAAGAGGAGGAGGTTTAATCCTTAGACTAGTTGAAACCAGGATAGCAGGAGGAGGAGGTTAAATCCTTAGATTAGTTGAAACCAGGATAGAAAGAGGAGGAGGTTTATTCCTTAGTTTAGTTGAAACCAGAATATGAGGTGGAGGTTTATTCCTTAGTTTAGTTGAAACTAAGATAGGAGAAGGAGGTTTAATCCTTAGTTTATTAGTTGAAACCAGGATAGGAGGAGGAGGAGGAGGTTTATTTCTTAGTTTAGTTGAAACCAGGATAGGAAGAGGAGGAGTTTTATTTCTTAGTTTAGTTGAATCCAGGATAGGAGAAGCAGGTTTAATCCTTTGTTTAGTTGAAATTCTAGGATAGGAGGAGGAGGAGGTGTAATCTTTAGTTAAGTTGAAACCAGGATAGAAGGAGGAGGAGGTGTTTTCCTTAGTTTAGTAGAAACCAGGATAGGAGAAGCAGGTTTAATCCTTTGGTTAGTTGAAATTCTAGGATAGGAGGAGGAGGTTAAATCTTTAGTTTAGTTGAAACCAGGATAGGAGGAGGAGGAGGCTTATTCCATAGTTTAGTTGAAACTAGGATAGGAGGAGGAGGTTTAATCTTTAGTTTAGTTGAAACCAGGATAGGAGGAGGAGGAGGCTTATTCCATAGTTTAGTTGAAACCAGGATAGAAGGGAGGAGGTTTTATCCTTACTTTAGTTGAAACCAGGATATGAGGAGGAGGAGGTTAAATCTTTAGCTTAGTTGAAACCAGGATAGGAGGAGGTGTTTTCCTTAGTTTAGTAGAAACCAGGAGAGGAGAAGCAGGTTTAATCTTTGTTTAGTTGAAACTAGGATAGGAGGAGGAGGTTTAATCATTAGTCTAGTTGAAACCAAGATTGGAGAAGCAGGTTTAATGCGTAAATTAGTTGAAACCAGGAAAGGAGGAGGAGGAGGTTAAATCCTTAGATTAGTTGAAACCAGGATAGGAGGAGGAGGAGGTTTATTCCTTAGTTTAGTTGAAACCAGGATATAAGGGGGAGGTTTAATCCTTAGATTAATTGAAACCGGGATAGGAGAGCATGAATTTTAATTCAAAGTTTAATTGAAACCAGGTACTCTGAGCCTAGTTGAAACTTTATTAATCATAAAAATGTTGCTCCTTCTGTCAATCTTTGGGTGCTTTGCTATCCTATATATTTTCCTTCATGAAGTACGATGTGTACTTTAATTTTCAGTTCTGAAGGGGGATTGTGGCACAGGATTTGAAAATTTTTGTTAATGTTTAGTTTAAAAAATTATAAATGTATTTATATTTAGAAAGATATAAATTACGAAAAAAAAATTAAATTAGCTTTCAATGGCTTTTAAGGTTATAAACATCGGCATCTTTCATACTTGAATTTGATCAGACAAAGCTTTTAAGGGTACAGTTGTGAATTGTGCATTGCCATTTTTGTGTGAAGGGCCACTTTAATTACAGCTAGACTTAAAGTTCTATGTCACCAAATTGCAAAGATATAGGGAATAGAAAACAAGATATTTTTGGTAAGTGGTTCAGTTGTTTTCCTAATCGACCATATTTTGTAAAAAAAAAACTTTCCCTCTACATATAAATGTTAATTAAGATGTGGTAAAATTGACATTTCTAGGAGTTAAGATTTTTGATAATGAATCCAAGACAATAAAATAGTTGAATAGATAGACAGGGTATACTTGATATCTGAGATTGCATTCAGATTCAAAGATGGATAGATAGATAGACATAAAGATATTTCGGAGATATAGATAGATAGATAGATAGATAGATAGATAGATAGATACAAAGATATTTCGCAGATTTAGATAGATAGATAGATAGATAGATAGATACAAAGATATTTCGCAGATATAGATAGATAGATACAAAGATATTTCGCAGATTTAGATAGATTGAGAGGTAAAAAGATAGATACTAGATAAATACGTAGATATTGGGCTGGGTAGGTAGGTAGGTAGGTAGACATTGAGGTGGGTAGGTAGGTAGGTAGAAAAATAGATTTTGAAAAGTATTTAGTTTGTAGATAGGCAGAGGTAGGTTGTTCAAGTAATCTTTTTCACAATCTCAAGAAATATCATCAGAAACGCATGTCAAATCTGAAATTTTAACGCCCGAACAATTTTTTAAAATTTTTTTTCATGTGACCCTCATTGCAAAACACGGCAATGCCCGATTTACAAAGATATCCTTAATTGAAACCTTAATCTGATCAAGAATATGGAAGATACTGTCGTCTTTAGTCGTTGAATTTTGATAGTTTCTCCATTGCTTCTTATAAGCAAAAAATGTGCAAGTTACTCTCATATAGAAACCGCAAATGAAAATAAACAGTTAAATGAAATAAAAAACATGAATATCTAATGCATGCTTGATAAAAACAAAGCTGTTAAGGGTACCGTTATAAATCGGCCATAAAAGGTCACTTGAAATTACGCTTACATTAATCCCTTTAAACGCACAAATTTTAACGCACATTCTACTGTTTTTGTATTTTGGAAAAACTTCATCAATTTTAAGAATTCGGTTCTTCTAAGTACAATTTCAACATTTGTACTTTCTGATAAAATACTGTGCGGTACACAGTTGAAAGGAGGAGGGGGGGGGGGGGAATTCTACATTGTTTTCCTTCATTTTTAAACAAGGGTTTATGTATCGTAAAATGGAAATAAAAAAGGCAACTCATCCTGCAGTTATATCTGCAGTCTATACTGCTTTACAGCTCTATCATTGGATCCAATGGTGCAGGGTGTCCCAAGAATATGATCGAAATCGTTACTCAACTCCCATGTTTAATGGAAAACCTTTATCGTGCATCTGCATGTTATAGAGGTATATAGTGCAGAGTTTATTGGGACACCCTGTGGATTGTAGAACAATATCAAACATATTGCACTCCATAAAGTTTATCCAAGAAAATACTTCATACTCGAACAATTATTAAAAATGGTTGATTTTGCCTCATCAAAGTATTTCTTTTTAGAAGTCTTCAAAGTATGAAAATGTGAATGTTAAGTATATCCTCCGAAATACTTGAGACACCTCAGAGAAAAGATCCCTTTTCTACCATATTTAAAGATGAACACTACAGAGGTATCCTGGTACAACCCTGAGCACGGGAGGGATCTTAACCTGAACCTTGTTGATCCAGGGGGATCCAACCCGTCCCAGGGAAACATTAGCTCCGGGATTCACAGCATGCTTCTCATGCACTTAGCCAAGAACCACAGGTACAGTGGAAGGGAGGGGCACCCTCTCTGTTTGTATTTTACGGACTGCAAGCGTAATTTCAAGTGACCCTCCAAGCAAAGATGGCATTGTCCGATTTACAACGGTACCCTTGAAACCTCAATGTGATCTCAAATGTGGAAGATACCGTCGTTTTTCTGACTCGAAAAGTTTTTTGTAAGTTTCTCAATTGCTTCTTATAAACGAGAAATGCGCAAGTCACTTTCGCAGAAAAACCGCAAGTGAAAATAAACAGTTTAAAGAAACAAACCATTGATATCTAATTCAAACTTGAACACTGAACAGACAACAATTTCAAGGATACTGGTGTAAATCGGGCATTGCCATCTTTGCACGGAGGGTCACTTGTATTTACGCTTACAGTCCCTTTAAGTGATTAATAAGCTTGACCGATTTGCATAAAATGTTGGGGAACTAATTAGAATTAACGGGAATGTTCTGAACTGTGTTTAACAATTTTAAGTTGAGTAGGATCGACTTTTATGCGCCCTACGTTTTGACTTTATTGAAACTTAAATTTTCGGGCAAAGCTGGGTTTACAAACTAGTAACCTAACATTTTTCCAAGGTTTAATCTGACGGAAAATAACAAATCTAATATCCGAAGTTTAATCTGACGGAACACAACAAATCTATTATCTAAGGTTTAATCTGACGGAACATAACAAATCTATTATCTTCGGTTTAATCTGAGGGAACATAACAAATCTATTGTCCAAGGTTTAATCTGACGGAACACAACAAATCTAATATCCAAGGTTAAATCTGACGGAACATAACAAATCTATTATCCAAGGTTTAATATGACGGAACACATAAAATCTAATATCCAAGGTTTAACCTGACGGAACACAACAAATCTATTATCCAAGGTTTAATCTGACGGAACATAACAAATCTATTATCCAAGGTTTAATCTGACGGAACACAACAAATCTAATATCCAAGGTTTTTAACCTAACGGAACATATTAAATCTATTATCCAAGGTTTAATCTGACGGAACACAACAAATCTATTATCCAAGGTTTAATCTGACGGAACATAACAAGTCTATCTTGATCAACTCCTCCCTCCTCCACCCGAACCTGAGCCTGGAGCACCCGGTCAGCATTGACTTCACCCTACCCATCTTCGACCTGACCGCGGGGAACCTCAACCTCTTCTTCATGATCCTCTACGCTATCATCGTCGTCATAGGAATCCATTTATCTACAATATATAATTTCCAGGCCAAAAAAATGTATTAAAATATTTCTTTTTTGATTATCTATACATAATTTTATAAGATGATAAACCCCAGCGGGATTCAATTGTAAACCCGAGGGTGTAGCCCAAGGGACTATTATTGAACCCCTCCGGGGTTTTACCTTCAATTGTCCATTTGAACTATTTATTAGAATAACTGACATTTCTTATCATAGCCCATGGGGTTATCATTAAATCCCTCGGGGGGTTTAAACTTCCATTGGTTCTAATTTTTAGATAAGCGGAATTCAATAAAAGTTGGCGATAGAAAAAATATCAGTTATTTATAATGGAATGTGTATTTACATTTTTCAATTTACTGAAAAACAAAGAGGAGTAAATTTTTTTGGCAAGTACATCAATTGCATTCTTTGAGACTGTTGTCATGTACATTCATATAAGAAATATCCTCTAATATCCTTTATGTATATAAATGGATTAAACGGCTGTACAGGCGCTGCTGGAAATTTTATGACGATCTATGTTGTTTGGAGATCAAAGAGAGTTTAATTCCACTTAAATTCTTTTTTTTACAGTAAAATTTAAAGAATTTAAAATGACATTTTTTCAAATTTTTCATACTGCAACTTAGACTTTTCGTTTTAGTTAACCACAAAAAGACAGAAATGAATGCCCAAACTTTTGTCAAAACGTTTTCTTTAAACTATTGAAAAAGTGTGATTTAGCAGATTTTTAATGATAACGCTCTTAAAAACCCTTTAAAAATTGATTCATAACCATAATTCGTCGAGAAGTGTTTATATCTGTCAAAAATAGGTGTTTTTTGTTGCAGTTGCCCCCTTTTATCATATTTAAAAGTGGAATTATGTACTGGAGTATGCAAACAGTTACAAACATGTACATTTATTATATTTTAAAGTGGAATTATGTACAGGAGTATGCAAACAGTTACAAACATGTACATTTATCATATTTAAAAGTGGAATTATGTACTGGAGTATGCAAACAGTTACAAACATGTACATTTATTATATTTTAAAGTGGAATTATGTACAGGAGTATGCAAACAGTTACAAATATGTACATTTGTAGTGTTGCATCAGCAGATTTTATACTTACTGTACTAGCTACACCATTCCAGGCTAAGGTACATGAATAGCTAGGTGGATGTTATACAGTCCGAGGCAGAAAGACTCGGAATTAATTTACAATTAATCAGACAACTTTACAACCTATACCAAATATGATTGATGAAACGATAATCAACAAATATCCCTTGTCCTGCAATTTTTGAAATGTGGTCTGCCTTTATAGAGCATTTAAAATTGCCAAAGATATATATTAAAAGTCGTCTGATTAACTGTCAGCTAATTTCGAGTCTTTCTGATTATGACTGTACCAATATGATCAGTAAATTACAGAGTATCAACAGAAGTGATGAGCTATAATTTGGTTCGGGTTTTTTCTAACGATCGTTTTGGTTTGTTTATTTCCCATGTATCTTCTCTCAAGAGTTAAAAATTGACAAACTGTAAGTAAAACAAATGTTTAGAATAAACAATTTTGACATTTCTAAAACCTCTAAAACCCTCTAAAACTAGAACGAACCAAATTTTTTCCCCTCACTAAGTTCATAAGTTTTAAGCCACCAAAACTTTTCTAGGCAGTTCTTTCACAACGTTGGGATCTACCGATTATAATGTGCAAGATGTGCCCAGTTGTACTTAACCTATCAGGTACATATGATAAGTGTGTGTAAAGTTGTACTTAACCTATCAGGTACATATGATTAGTTTGTGTACAGTTGTACTTAACCTGTCAGGTACATATGATTAGTGTGTGTACAGTTGTTCTTAACCTATCAGGTACATATGATTAGTGGTGTACAGTTGTACTTAACCTATCAGGTACATATGATTAGTGGTGTACAGTTGTACTTAACCTATCAGGTAAATATGATTAGTGGTGTACAGTTGTACTTAACCTATCAGGTACATATGATTAGTGTGTGTAAGTTGTTCTTAACCTATCAGGTACATATGATTAGTGGTGTACAGTTGTGCTTAACCTATCAGGTACATATGATTAGTGGGTGTACAGTTGTACTTAATCTATCAGGTACATATGATTAGTGTGTGTACAGTTGTACTTAACCCATCAGATACATATTATTAGTGTGTGTACAGTTGTACTTAACCTATCAGGTACATATGATTAGTGTGTACAGTTGCAGTTGTACTTAATCTATCAGGTACATATGATTAGTGTGTGTACAGTTGTACTTAACCCATCAGATACATATTATTAGTGTGTGTACAGTTGTACTTAACCTATCAGGTACATATGATTAGTGTGTACAGTTGCAACTTAACCCATCAGATACATATTATTAGTGTGTGTACAGTTGTACTTAACCTATCAGGTACATATGATTAGTGTGTGTACAGTTGTACTTAACCTATATGATTAGTGTGTTTACAGTTGTACTTAACCTATCAGGTACATAGGATTAGTGTAAGAACAGTTGCACTTAACCTCATATACATAGGATTAGTGTGTTTACATTTGTACTGGGCCTATCAGGTACGTTTAATTAGTGTGTGTAAAGTTGTTCTTAACCTATGAGATCATATGATTAGTGTGTGTACAGTTGTTTAACCTATTAGGTACATGGGATTAGTATGAGTACAGTTGTATTTAACCTATCAGGTATATATGATAAGAGTGTGTACAGTCGGCTTAACCTATCAGGTACAAAGATTATTGTGTTCATAGTTGTACTTAACCTATCAGGTACATATGATTAGTGTGTGTACAGTTGTACTTAATCTATCAGGTACATATGATTAGTGTGTGTACAGTTGTACTTAACCTATCAGGTACATAGGATTAGTGTGTGTACAGTTATACTTAACCAATCAGATACAGATACAGATACAGATGAATAGTGTGTGTACACTTACAGTTTTACTTAACCTATCAGGTGCAAAGAATTAGTGTGTGTACAGTTGTACTTAACCTACCAGGTACATACGATTTGTGTGTGTACAGTTGTACTTATACTTGTTAAGTACATAATATTATTGTTTTTATTATGTACCTGATGAATTATTTATGCAGTTTGTTCTTTTAATTTTTAATCAGGTAATATAAATCAAAATAGTTTTAACTTCTAATTTGCTTGTCATGTTGATATATATCTGAAATAAATTAGAAATTAAGAGAAACTTCAAACATTATTATAAAAGTGAATTAATTGCTCATGCAATTTATGAAAATAACTTGAAATATTGTGAATCTATTTTATTTAAATCGTTAAAAAGTTTAAAATTAACCGACCCATGGTAAAGAAAACCTGACCTTGAAGTTTTTTTTGACCTCTCTCTACAATACAATATTTTTTTTTTTAGATTTGACAGTTTTGGAGCCTAACACTTCCAAATTCCTACTTTTTCTTAATATAATCATAGAATGAGAATTACTAAACCCTATTGTATAGAATGAAACCAGATTTTAGTTTTGTAAAAGAGAAAGTAAGCGTTATTTTAAGTGACCCTACATGCAAAATTAGAATGCCCAATACTGTCGTTTTCTGACTCAAAAGTGTTTAATTCTGATAATATCTCCATTGCTTCGTAAAAGCAAGAAATGCGGGATTTACTTTCGCGGAGAAACCACAAATGAGAATAAACATTGTATGGAACAAAATCATGGATATCAAATTCTTACTTTATCAGACAAAGCTTTTAAGAGTACCTTTAAAATCGGGCATTGTCATCATTGCATGGAGGGTCACTTAAAATTACGCTGACAGTTCCTTTAATAACAATTATATATATTTTTAGTGAATATTTCTGACAGTCCCTTTAATAACAATTATATATATTTTTAGTGAATATTTCTGTATTCTCCATGACATGTATTAGTGTTGATCGATATCAGGCAAGTTTTTTTTTTAAAAATTTGTTTATTTATGTAGGATTTATTAAAAAAATAATAATTAGGGGTTAATACTAAATGCAAAGACTCAATTGAAGTTGAAAACTTTTGTTATTTCTTTTACTATCCGATTTTTTCCAAGTTTTAAAAGTTTTGGTCAAAAGATGAAAAGATATTTCTTAATAATCAATACTGCAAAGAGTATACATATAGAAATCAAAATATAAAGTTTTTTCAATTCTAAATTGGCTTTAACGCTTAATTTTTTACTTATTTTATTATCCAAGTTTATGTATTGTGTCTAATATTTAATCCCTTGACCGATTTGCCACTATAGTTTGATTTGGTAACTCGGTATGAACCAAGGGAATATTTTTAGCTTAGTTTAAAAAATCGATTTTGAGGGGTTCGCTTTTTTAGTTTCCAGGCAAAGATGGGTTCCCCATGGATAGTAAGTTATACATTTAAATATACAAGGTTTATTGTTACTTCATGAAAAGCATATGTTCAATGGAAAAAAAAAACAATAAAATATTAAAATAATATAATTTTTCGACTTTTACTAGAATATTTTTGCAACAGAAATTGTATTACTTCTGCGTTCCTCTGATTTATAGCTTTTATCATAATTTTGAATTAAAATTTAAATTCAGATTTATTTTTTAGGCAATCATGGTTCCTTTGACTCATAAACCACTTAAGAGAACTGCAAACATTATCATCTTAATGTAAGTTAAGAAAATTATTATAATTATAGAAGTCCTTTAGCTTTGGCTGAATTAAAAAATAATTCACGTGATCGAGGCTTTTCAAGTTTTATCATTTTTATAGTTATAAAATGTGTCACATTAGAAGAAAGCTATTTCAAAACATACTCCTAAAAATATTTTTTTTTAGAAAACAACCTTTAGAAAACCTTCGATATTTCAAACTATAATAAATGGATCTGATTTTAGTTTGAAATATCAGGCTGCAAAGGTATTGGGATTAGAGAAAGGCTATAACCAAGGCTATAATTACTTTCTTTCAGAGTTTGGATTATTTCTTTCTTGATATCCTTCCCTCAATCCTACTATTATCAGGTGCAGTGGAAAGTATCTTTTAAAAAGATATCAAATTAAATCAAACAAGCTCATTACACACAGAAAATTCTTATTTTCTAATCCTTACGTTTTTGCTACCTGATCTAAAATATTTTGAACTATAAATTCTGCGAGATCAAGTAAACAAGGTTTAGAATATGTTTACACCATCTGGTTACCAAAATATAGGGATTAGAAAATTAGAGTTTCCGGGGAGTAATATGTTCTTTTTAAAGGGAGTGTTCGCAAAAAATGAAAGGGGGTATAGGCTTAATGCGATAAAAAAGCGCTTTTGATCGCTACTAATCTTACTTCTATCTGTTGCGTCTATAAGGAGAAACTTGTTAAAGACGTCTCATACCGAATAACTTAGCGCCCATACAAATTCAGAAAATTGCAACATACGACTTAGACCGTAAAAAATCAATTTAATTTTAAACAAATCATTCAGATAGTACAATCTATAGACATCGACTATCTTTCGCCACATTTGTATATAGTTTATATTTTATAATATTTTATATTTTTAGAACACGTTTTAACTGATTTCGAAAAATGTGAGTGGTCCGCGGTATTCTTAGATAGTTGCGCAAGCCGCAAGAGAAATAATAAAATTCAAAACAAATTAATTAAAAAAAAATATAAAATATATACTATATACAAATGTGCCGAAAGATAATCGATGACTATAGGTTGTAATATCGGAATGATTTGTTTAACATTAAATTGATATTTTACGGTCTAAGTCGTATGTTACAATTTTCTCAATTTGAATGGGCGCTAAGTTATTCGGTATGAGACGTCTTTAACAAGTTCTCCTTATAGACGCAACAGATATAAGTAAGATTAGTAGCGATCAAAAGCGCTTTTTTATCGCATCAAGCCTGTACCCCCTTTCATTTTTCGCGAACACTTCCTTTAAAGAAAAATTCATTTTTAATTAATCATTGGAAGTTACTTTCAATGTAAATAAATTCAAATGTATAGATTACCAAAAAATTTATTAATCTTTTTAATATTAAAACAATTCAAACTAATTATGTATACAGTAACACTGAATTGCGATAAACAAAACAGTACGTTTTCAAAAATGTTTGTAGTACGTTAACATTGTTAACATTTTCGCAGTAATTTAACTGTTTAAAGAATGTTTACACATGTTTGCAGTACGTTTACAAATGTTTGTAGTAAATAATTACTGTTTACAAATGTTTGCAGTTAAATCAAGGAACTATATGCAGGAACGCCCAACTCAGATATACTCATATTATGTATTGTACACTGTGGGAGGAATGTAAACAAACCCAGTGCCCCCACAGGAGTTGAAGGGAAAGGACTGCAGCTCTGATGTGATATTACAGTCCAACAAAAAACAAGTTAATATATCAAGTTAGAGCGAATACATATGATTTTTGGCTTTCTGGTCAATATGGAAAATACAATAGCAATATATTTTTATTCCACCCCTGGCCTTGGGCCATTTTTCCACAAAAATTATGCGTTGCCCCTGAATTCTTTGTTTTGATCTCCTCCCACTGCAGTACACAGATCTGACGCATGAGTTATGGCGGTTCCTGGTCTATATATTTCTTGAGTTAAAATAACATTTTTACAAATGTTTGCAGTACGTTTATATTGTTTACAAATATTTGCAGTACGTATACAAGACAGAGGGAAATATGTTAAAACCATTCTGTATGCTGGTTGAGGAGAATACTATTCCATATCACACATTCTTTGCTGTTCTTGCAGGAACTTTTTCAAACGAATAAGAAATTTGAAAAAAATATATTATTTTTTTACTGTATAACATACAGAGAATTAATCTCAAAGGATGACATTTCAGAGACGGCTGTGCAAACTTTACAAACTGTTTCCTTATATTGAATTCATGGTTTCCTACATAGAGTAATAAAACGAGGAGGTGAAGCTTAGCTTACACAACCGACCTGTCTATTAATTAATTAATAGACAGGTCGGTTGTGTACATCACGATATGTCAAAGAAACGATAATTCCGTTTTTTTACAAGCTGTTTAATTCAGGCTACTTTCTGACTTAAAAGCGAAACTAAACTTTCTTTCAGTTTCATGCAGGTCAATTTAGCGTAATACTCGTGCGTAAGTGAAAGAAATCGTTACCCGTAAATTATTATTTGTTACAGGGAATCAATTTCTTAACAAGATTTACAAAATATATAACTAAAATCAAAACTATTGATTTATTTTTATCTTTAAATTTTTTTTATTTTTCGTGATCAAAAAATTCACCAAAAATATACATTTTAACTATTCTACACTCACAATTTAAAGAATTAAAAGAAATACACATTTAGGTCAAATTTTCAAATCCTATAGACGTAACCATGGTCAAGTGATGTCACACACCTGCTTTGGCACAATCAGCTCAACCTTTTTGAAATATATCAACAAGAGACATATTAAGAGTGAGCCATGTTCACAGTTATAAAAATCATTCAACATCTATAATCCAAATGTTACAACCCCTTGCCCCTTGGTTACTTTACCAATCGATTAATACTTTCTTCTATTGAATATTTCAACTATTTAGCAAGATTTTACTCAATTATCTACTATTTAATGTATCCGAAAGCTGACAATGATATTATGAGAGTCAGATCCTGGTCTAGAGGATGTGTTGCTTCAATCTAAGTTTGCATAATTAAAACATTTATTTTGAAAATAATCCAAGCTTTTATACAGTTTAGTTTTTATGCACTATACAACGGTAAAATATAGTTTTGCACTTATATAAATGTTAAACTTTAAACCTTCCATGGGATTTTTAGTATTTAATCTTTCCATTTTAGACTTAAAACACAACAGACGTGACACTGAATTCTGATTGGATGTTTAGTATAAAATATTTAACCATACCAATAATATAACATAAAATGTTTAGTACGCATATTTTATACTCTATCTTTATATACATAATTAAGTCAAAACTTGATTATTTAATAAAAACTAAAAGTTAAAAATCACTTCATTAATTATTTCTTTGGAAACTGAAATTTAATAAAATGTATTTTCTTAGTATAGTAAAAAATGTTTTATTTACATATTTTACATTGTTTGTGTTAAATCCTTTAAATCCCAGTGTTTTGATAAAATGTATAACATTGAAGTTATTTAAACCGAAAAGTAAACCTCTTATTAAAAAAGGTGAAAATTTGTAATCAAGCACTAATATTAATTAATTAAGCATTTGAGCACCATAACTAATATTTGTACATAGAATGAATTATGATATCGATATATTTTCAAATAGAAAAAAAAACAATAAAATAAAACAATAAATTGTATGGAATGTAAAGTAAAGCGAATCTATCAAAATAAAATCCAATTCTAAACCACAGCAAAGTCAAGCTAATTTTCTTTTAATTTGAACTCTTGCATAGTTTTAAACACTACTCTTTTATCTGAAGAGATAATCCCAGTCTAGTCTAAAATGTCTTCTTTATGTTGGAGTAGAACTCTAAAGGTCTAGAGTTCTTTTTGTAGAGGTTGGAGCAGAACTCATGTAGATCTGGAGTTCTGTGTGTTGAGGTTGGAGTAGAACTCTGGAGGTATGGAGTTCTGTATGTTGAGGTTGGAGCAGAACTCATGAAGATCTGGAGTTCTGTGTGTTGAGGTTGGAGTAGAACTCTGGAGGTATGGAGTTCTGTATGTTGAGGATGGAGTAGAACTCAAGAGATGAGGAGTTTGACGTTGGAGTTGAACTCTGAAGATCTGGATTTTTTAATGTTGAGGTTCGAGCAGAACTCTTAAGATCTGGAGTTCTTTATGTAGAGGTTGGAGCAGAACTCTGGAGATCTGGAGTTCTGTATTTTGACATTGGAGTAGAACTCTGGAGGTCTGGAGTTCTGTATGTTGAGGTTGGAGTAGAACTCAAGAGATCTGGAGTTCTGTATGTTGAGGTTGGAGTAGAACTCAAGAGATCTGGAGTTCTGTATTTTGAGGTTGGAGTAGAACTCAAGAGATCTGGAGTTCTGTGTGTTGAGGTTGAAGTAGAACTCTGGAGATCTGGAGTTCTGTATGTTGAGGTTGGAGTAGAACTCTGGAGATCTGGAGTTCTGTATGTTGAAGTTGGAGTTGAACTCAAGAGATCTGGAGTTCTGTATGTTGAGGTTGGAGTAGAACTCAAGAGATCTGGAGTTCTGTGTGTTGAGGTTGGAGTAGAACTCAAGAGATCTGGAGTTCTGTATTTTGAGGTTGGAGTAGAACTCAAGAGATCTGGAGTTCTGTGTGTTGAGGTTGGAGTAGAAATCAGGAGGTCTGGAGTTCTGTATGTTGAGGTTGGAGTAGAACTCTGGAGATCTGGAGTTCTGTATGTTGAGGTTGGAGTAGAACTCAAGAGATCTGGAGTTCTGTATTTTGACGTTGGAGTAGAACTCTGGAGATCTGGAGTTCTGTGTGTTGAGGTTGGAGTAGAACTCAGGAGGTCTGGAGTTCTGTATGTTGAGGTTGGAGTAGAACTCAAGAGATCTGGAGTTCTGTATGTTGAGGTTGGAGTATAACTCAAGAGATCTGGAGTTCTGTATGTTGAGGTTGGAGTATAACTCTGGAGGTCTGGAGTTCTGTATGTTCAGGTTGGAGAAGAACTCTGGAGATCTGGAGTTCTGTATGTTGAGGTTGGAGTAGAACATGGGAGATCTGGAGTTCTGTATGTTGAGGTTGGAGTAGAACATGGGAGATCTGGAGTTCTTTATGTTGTGGTTGGAGTGAAACTCTGGAGATCTAGAGTTCTTTTTGTTAAGGTTGGAGCAGAACTCTGGAGGTCTGGAGTTCTTTATGTTGAATTGGAGTAGAACTTTGGAGGACTGGAGTTCTTTATGTTGAGGTTGGAGTAAAGCTCTAGAGATCTAGAGTACTCTATGTTGACTGTTGAGGTTGGAGTAGAACTCTGAACATTTGGAGTTCTTAATGTCGAGGTTGGAGTAGAACTCTGAAGATCTGGAGTTGACTGTTGAGGATGTAGTAGAAAGGATGTCCTAAATAAAAATATTTGTTATATCCGTTATTGTGTTACACTGATTTTTAGCTGATAACTGGAGCTACCAGTCCCCTATCAAATATAATTTTATAAGCACTGTTTTAATGCTTATAAAATTATATTTAACATTGACACAAGGAGGCATATTGCTTCATTAATTTTTATTTTTATTTCAAATTATGCTAAACTTGTATCAAAACTTATTTATCATATATGCATTAAAATAAATGATAAATAAGCTGGGTATCATACTCGCTCATTTGTATTCAGTGTTGCTGGCAAATTGTTATCAGCTAAGAACTAAGCGAGTAATAATTAAAATTTAAATAATGTTAATATACAATCTGTATTTAATGTACCCCGTCACATTTTATACTCATGTATATTATTCTGAATTTAAAAAATAAACATTGAGGGAAAAACTGAGTTGAATTTGAAGAATAATTAAGTTTTAGAAATATACATATGTATATATAATGTACCTCGTCACATTTTATACATATGTATATAATACTTAATTAAAAATTATAAAAAATACAAACAGTAAATCTTGACTAGGCTGACCAGGAGCTAGAGAACAGTGCTGGGAATAAACCCAGATGCTGGTTTAGTCCATCAAGTTGAAAAAGAAAGCTACGACATCGACGATATGGGGGACAAGCTGCTAGACTTTGAGAAGTGAAGAGCAAAATAATGCAGACAAGCTGAAAATAATCATATTTAGAAAAACATTCAGGCATATTTCAGATATTAAAGATTAAATTTGTGCTCTAAAATATGTTTTAAAATGAAAAACAAATATAGAACACAAAATACCTCTCCATCTTGGATTGTTCAACTGATCTACAACCACTAGATTGAAGGATTAGTTGTCTTCCAATAGAAGAAGTTGCATTATTCTAAAATATCATTGTTTAATGATATTGAACTTAAAATAATGTCATAAAAATAGAATATAAAATCAATATTTCACCCAAAACTATGAATATTTACCTCAATTAGTAGCGGAGAGGAAGTTCTACTGAACTTTACATCATCTGGCAGCCATTGAACTCCAAGAGTAGGTTTAAATAGCAAGGCTGTTAACAATGCTTCATTCTTCTTTTCCGTCATAGCAGCATTAAACAGACATTCTCGTGGTGGTTGAAACAACTTCAGCATACTCTCAGAGGTAGACATATTCGGCATTTTCGGCTTTTCTTCAAGTTGAGAGTGAACCTTCTCCTTCAAAGGTTAAAGTAAAAGTGAGCATTTTCTCGGATTTGCCCGGATTTTCCCGGATTTCTCCCCGATTTTTCCCGCATTTCTTAAAATAAAGTGTACTATGGACCAAATACGTTTATCGTTAAATCTGTTATATGAGTTATATAGCTCTTTTAACAGCATTTTTAAAAATTATTTTTTAGGGAATGCATTAAGTAATCAAAGCATTTATCGTTAACCAACTTTTCTACTTTTATTTGTCCATTTACGACGACAATTATACTATATTTTGTGAAAACTCTTTGATTTTATTTGATAAACCAGGTATATTTTAGATATATTACAAAATATATATGACAGATATTCTCAAATATTCTTGAAATATATTCCTAGCAGAATATTATTCTACCGCACAGAACAGAATGTTTTTAAAAAAAATTTAGAATTACTTTGTAATTTTTATAATTTCATAATATTTTGCAATGTTTTCAGTTTTTTTTTCACCCTTTTCGCATGGTTTAAAGCATACATATCAATGTTCCCCCCATTTTTGTTTTGTCATGAATATTTTATTTATTTACGATTTACTTTAAAGGACCCTAGTCGGGAACATGATTTAAATAATTCTCTGTATTCCTGTCTATATACCATAGAGTAATAAAACGAAGAGGTGAAGCTTAGCTCAGATGTACGATATGTTTCTAACGCTGTATAGAGCGATCGTATTTCTAAGGAGTGGTTTAATGTAAATATTTGAATATTAGTATTGATACTTAGATAGATTAGGTCGAAAAAATGTAAAAAAAAATTTTTGTTTAAAACAAATATCAAAGTGTGACACACGTTTCTACGCCCATTTTTAAGGGCTTATCAAAACTAAAGTTTTCAGATCTGTAGCTTTGCTCATAAAAATGTTATAGGCTATTTAAGATTTTTTTACATACTCTGGTTTTTTATCGCCCTGCACCCTACCTTAGGCATAAAAAACTACCAACAAGTCCTTTAAATTTCTATCTATGAAAAGTAAAAAAACTAGAGTGGGAGCCCGCCTGTTTAGGTTTAGGAGCTCCAGGTCGTCATCGTTGTTTCATCTTTGTGGGTACCCTGCATACACTGTCATGTTTATGATAAAGAGTTGAAGAGAAGAAACAATAAAAAATGTTTGAAATAAGAATGTTTTCAGTTAAATTCATGCCCTATAGAAACTTAATATTTTTGACAGAACTTTTAGCTAATAAATTGAAAACCTACAAATTTGAAAATTGTCAAATGTTTGCGGTCAACATCCTCGAATTCTCTTTAAATAAAGAAAGAAAATCTAAAAATTGGTCAATTCCATAAAATCCCCCATTAGAAATACGAACACACTATATACAAGTGTACAGCGTTAGATACGTAAACATATTGTGATGTACACAACCAACCGACCTGTCTATTAATTAATTAATTTATTGACAGGTCGGTTGTGTACATCTAAGCTAAGCTTCACCTCTTCGTTTATTACTCTATGGTTTCCTACAACTGTTAAATTCTTTCGTTCTTTGTCAAATTAATAAATGCGCTAATAAACGACTATATTTGAAAGAGAAGACTTAATTTAACCTTGGAATCATTATAAGGTCGTCTTTACAGTCTCATCCTTTGTGGTTAACCTTGTAACTCAACATTTGTTGACCCATAATACGGAAACATCAGTTCTTTCATGATATCTCAATTCTCTATATCCAAAACATAATCCGTAAACATCTGTTAGTTTAGTTCTTTCCTGATATCTCAATTCTCTATATCCAAAACATAATCCGTAAACATCTGTTAGTTTAGTTCTTTCATGATATCTCAATTCTCTATATCCAAACTTAATCCATAAACATCTGTTAGTTTAGTTCTTTCCTGATATCTCAATTCTCTATATCCAAAAAATAATCCGTAAACATCTGTTAGTTTAGTTCTTTCATGATATCTCAATTCTCTGTATCCAAAACATAATCCGTAAACATCTGTTAGTTTAGTTCTTTCCTGATATCTCAATTCTCTATATCCAAAACATAATCCGTAAACATCTGTTAGTTTAGTTCTTTCATGATATCTCAATTCTCTATATCCAAAACATAATCCGTAAACATCTGTCAGTTCAGTTCTTTCATGATATTTCAATTCTCTATATCCAAAAGATCGTAAAATTTTCGCTTTTTATAAATTAAAGAAATCCTTTAAGTTTTTACATCATAGTTATTAGATGTCCAAAAACCCAAGTTTTAATTAGAAACATTTTCATATCAGTAAAAGTATCGAATGCCATAAAAATTTATTCTTTCAGTATTCAAATCATGCTATTATTTTGAAAATTATTTGCATCTTTTTCCTATGTAGGCAGCTGGATTATACATAAACTCTGTGAATTGTTTTGTTATTTTGTATATGTTTTGTGTTTGGGGCATTCTTGTTTGGAAATTTTAAAACTTTTTTGTCTTTTCGCTTTGAAAGTAAACATAATTTAATCTAGTTAAAAAGCCAATTAATTGAAAAAATGACATTTTGCAGTGTTCAACTATTTTATCCCTCTATTCATCATTACATATTCATATACAAGAATTTGCATCAGGTAAGGACAAAATTAAGAACTTTTATTTAAAATATTTAAAAGTAAGATTTTTGTTCAAAAAAAACAACTCAAGAAATATTTGACAAATATTAATAAACATGTATAAAAAGTTCAAATAGAAAGTATCTACGATGATAATTTCTGAAAACTAACACTGTAGATAATAATGCATTATTCAGATAAAATTTAATTTATTAAAACCTAAGAACTATTTTTCGAGTAAATTATTTAAACTTTTTGAAGACAAATTAATGATTAATTAAAGGTTAAAAAACTCTGAAGCCCCCGGCACCACAAACACTTCAGCTCAAAGAGAAGTTAATAAACGAAAGGTAAAAATAATGATGTTCAAAAAAAAAATTTTGCTCCGATTTCTCCCCGGACTAAAGTAAACTTTGCAAAATTTGTGATCCTTCACTAAACACAGAATGCACTCGAGACAGAGTGCTTTATCTAGCCTAGACCTGTATGCCAATGATGTGCTAGCGAGCCTGGGAGGGGATTTCAACACTTGAAATGAAAATAAAAACAATGAAAAAAATTCTTAGAACTCATTAACGCAAAATATAATCAGATTCAGCTGAGGATTCGAGTTTAGATTTATGACTGTGGTTTTATTTTTCTCTCAAGAAGAAAAAGCAAACAATTATTTTTCAATTCTCCTTAAATCTGCAGAAAGGTTGAGGACATGATTTAGAAAAATAAAGACGACATTTCCTATTTGTCCAGTAAAGGGACTGTGACTATTATTTCAAATGATCCTCCATTGATATTAATATAAAAAGCATTGTTATATTATATATACGATGAAGTATGAATTAGATATCCCTGTTTTTTGTTTTTGAAAACTTTTCATTTTCGTTTGTGGTTTCTCTGCAACAGTGACACACATTTTTTGTTTCAGAATCAATAGAGAAATTACTAGAATTAAACGCTTTTAAAGCCAAAAAATGACTAAATCGGGCATAACCATCTTTAGAAGGGGGTCACATAAAAATACGACTCCAGTCCCTTTAACTTTTCATTTGTTGTAGGTAGAGAAGATGTTGATTATTGTTGTTGTTTAGGTAGAGAAGATGTTGATTATTGTTGTTGTTTAGGTAGAGAAGATGTTTATTATTGTTGTTGTTTAGGTAGAGAAGATGTTGATTATTGTTGTTGTTTAGCTAGAGAAGATGTTGATTATTGTTGTTGTTTAGGTAGAGAAGATGTTGATTATTGTTGTTGTTTAAGTAGAGAAGATGTTGATTATTGTTGTTGTTTAGGTAGAGAAGATGTTGATTATTGTTGTTGTTTAGGTAGAGAAGATGTTGATTATTGTTGTTGTGTAGGTAGAGAAGATGTTGATTATTGTTGTTGCTTAGGTAGAGAAGATGTTGATTTTTGTAGTTGTTTAGGTAGAGAAGATATTGATTATTGTTGTTTTTTAGGTAGAGAAAATATTGATTATTGTTGTTGTTTAGATGGAGAAGATGTTGATTATTGTTGTTGTTTAGGTCGAGAAGATGTTGATTATTGTTGTTGTTTTGTTTGTTGTCTGCTGGACCCCATACACTCTCTTCTATATATTCACATTTGTACCTGGGTTCCTGCAGTACACTTACATCAACGTTATATTCCTGGTAAGTACAATGCCGCAATATATTTTAGAGAGACTATATTATTTTCTTTAATTATCAAGAAATAGTCTTGTTTAGTGAGACACCATATAAAAAAAAACGAAATCCGTTTTCAGATTTAATGAATATCAGTTAAGTTAAATCTGTTTCAAGGTTTCCTATCAGATTACTCCACCTTATGTTTCATTATGTAAAATATAGGTTGATGCTTTTTTATATAGGTGAATGCTTTTTTATATAGGTGAATGCTTTCGTATATAGGCCAATGCTTTCATTTATACGTTGTTGTTTATAGGTCGATACTTTTGTATATAAGTCGGTGCTTTCTTCCTAGGTCGATGCTTTTGTATATAGGTCGATGGTTTCATATAAAGGTCAAAGCTTTCGTTTATAGGTCGATGCTTTTATTCACAGGTTGATGCTTTTGTATATGGGTTGATAAAGATGTCGATGCTTTCGTATGTTTGTTTTTGTTTTTTATTTTCGATGCTTTCATATATTTAGGATGTTGTTTTAGTATTTTCGATGCTTTCATATATCTAGGTTGTTGTTTTCGTATTTAGGTCGATGTTGCATAAATAGGTCGATACTTTGGTAAATAAGTCGATACTTTGGTAAATAGGTCGATACTTTGGTAAATATGTCGATACTTTGGTAAATAGGTCGATACTTTGGTATATAGGTCGATACTTTGGTATACAGGTCGATACTTTGGTATACAGGGCGATACTTTGGTATATAGGTCGATACTTTGGTAAATAGGTCGATACTTTGGTATATAGGTCGATGTTGAATATAAAGGTCGATACTTTGGTATATAGGTCGATACTTTGGTATTTAGGTCGATACTTTGGTATATAGGTCGATACTTTGGTATATAGGTCGATACTTTGGTATTTAGGTCGATACTTTGGTAAATAGGTCGATGCTTTCTTAAATATGTAGTTTCTTTCATACATAGGTCGATGCTTTCATACATAGGTGGATGCTTTCATTTAGAGGTCAGTGATTCAGTATATAGGTCGATTCTTTCGTATATGGGTCGATGCTTTCGTATATGGGTCGTTGCTTTCGTATATAGGTTATTGCTATAATATATAGGTCGATGCTTTCAAATAGAGGTCAATGCTTTCATATAGAGGTAAATGCTTTCATATAGAGGTCAATGTCTTCATAAAGAGGTAAATGCTTTCATATAGAGGTCAATGCTTTCATATAGAGGTAAATGCTTTCATATAGAGGTCAATGCTTTCATATAGAGGTAAATGCTTTCATATAGAGGTAAATGCTTTCATATAGAGGTAAATGCTTTCATATAGAGGTAAATGCTTTCGCATATAGGTCGATGATTTTTTCAGCTGAAAACCGCAGCCAGTCATACATAGGCCGATGCTTAATTTTATAATGGTCGATGCTTTCGTATATAGGTCATCATGCTCTCAAATTCAATGCTTGTCATTTATTATCAACTATAAATGAACGTTGTTGAAAATTGTTATTCTAAACGAAATTTCAACAATAAATATTCAGCAAATGTTATAGTCATGATTTTAGATTAACATTTCTTTTTCAGATTTTCTAAATTGCTATTCCCCGACATTTTTTTATACTAAACAGATGACCAGGAACAAAATTCATAAATACTTTAAATGGGGATTGATAAGTAAGGTTTGACCACAATGTGTGGATATTTCTTTATTCCGACAGATATTAATAAAAACAAGAGAGTTGACAGTGGACTTGATTGTCGTGTTTTTTTTTCAGTGAAATAATTTGCAACATTCATTATTAAACCAAATTTTAGAAGTAAAATTTTTAAAGTAATATTCACAAAACGCATTTTCAAAATTTGGGTTGTCTTTTGTGTTAATTATTTTAAGAATCATACATGAAAAAGTAGGATGACAAATGAATGCCGGAAATTATTTCAAAGATTAAAGACGACTTTAAAGTGTTTTGTAGACATATTTTACTTTTTAAAAGTCTGTAAATCCTGAGTTTGAGCGCAAATTTGACGTTCAAAACTCCTGATTTGGGGGTGGATACGCTTTCTGAATTAGTTTTATTAAAATTATTAATTAACGACGACATAAAATGTAAAAATATTCTACAATAAACTACAGACGTCATGTTTAGGATCATTTTGAGAAAATAAAAATTAATCTTATCATCGAAAATAAGTAATCTTGTTCAATTATTAGTTTCTATTATCTCATTATTCTAGTTTCTCTTTATTCACAAAGATGTTCGGAGATTTTCTATAATTATAATTGAAAAGACGACATTTAAAGAATTGAAGAAATCTGCGAATAAATTCAAAGAAAATTAGAAATTCAATATAATAATTAAAACGAAATAATCGATTTTAGCATTGATTTATTGACAAATTTCTTTTGTGAAATATGTTCCTAGCCATCTAATTAGATTACTATATAATTTTTACTTTATTTTTCGTTGTCGTTATTTAACCCTACCTTGAAAACCAGGATATGCTGGGGGGGGTCAATTTGACCCCCCCCCCTCTAAAATCCCATGTTTTATGTCCAAATATGACAAATGATACATCATTAGAAAGCTCTTGGGCTCTACTTTTAGAATCTGCAAAAAAATTTGCAAATTTGCAAAAATTGAATTTTTTATTGCAAAATCCAGTTATAGATTAAAAATGTTTGCAAAAAAAAATTGTCCAAAAATGAAAAATTATACATTTTTGAAAAGCCCTTGACCATACCATTTCAAATATGCAAAAAATTTTGCAAAATTTTAAATAACCTGAATTTTAATCAAGAAAAACTAAAAATGTGCAAATTTCCTTTGACAGGTCGTTTGCAAAAAATTTGCAATTTTTTTTTCGCAAAACTTGTGCAATCCGTTTCCTTATGTCATAGGCTTTTCAAAAAGCTAAATTTTTTCAAAATCTGACAAATGAAAGTGGGTCAAAACAAAGATTTAGTTTGATACAGGCAAAAGCAGTCATTCAGGCAGTGTGCCTGAGGACTCAGGCAGTTAGTATTAAAGCCCGGTTTTATGCCTAAAGGGAGGGCTTTGGGTATGTAAGAAAAGTCAGAAAATTTCAACAGCCTTAGACCAATACTTTTTGAGTTATGTAAAAAAAACTACAGGGGAGGGGTCAAATTGACCCCCCCCCCAGCAGGAATAGGGTTAATAATTAAAAAAAAACTAATTCTGAAAGCGTATCCACCCCCAAATCGGGAGTTTTGAACGTCGAATTTGCGCTCAAACTCAGGATTTACAGATCTTTAAAAAGTGAAATATGTCTCAAATGAATCCTAAAGAAGTTTTCGACAACACTGCATACTCAGTTCTATTACCTTACATAGCCGGTCACTCCCTTTAAACATTTCTGCCTCTGCTCTTCTGTTTCACTTTTAATTTGTTCTGCCCCCTTCCCCCTACTCTTTTTTTCTCTACAATGGGGGGGGGGGGCTACCTCTCCTTTTCTTGTCCCACCTTTCCTGCTTTTTTCTCCCTGACATTCATTTTTACTTGAAGAGTTGGCAAAGCTAATTTGTGTGGTTCCAATTTCAAAATGAAGATTTGTACCCTAAGTTGGGCTGTGTTGGAAAACGCGCAAGATTTTAAATTTAACTAAAGTGAAATGAACCTTAGTTTAGAAGCAATCAAATTAACGTATTTGACGACAGCGAAGCTAGCCGTCCGAAAGATGAAATAGATCTGTAAACATCTTTAGTCTTAGATCATTTCAGTTCAATTTAATTTAAATATATACATATACTTTGCTTGTCTGTTTGTCTGTTTATCTGTCCGTTTGTATCCAATAAACGTAAAAACGGCTGAACCGATTGGGCTCAAATTTTGTTCCCAGAGAAGGTTTATGGATGATTAAAATTAAAAAATTGTGTCCGAAAGTTTTTGATTGGTAAAGAGAGTACAGAAAAAGAAATAAGTTTAGAGTCATATATTCATGAATTTGAAAGAGGGATTGTATGCTTAATTTAAAGTGATTCACCATTCAAAGATGACAATATACAATTCCCAAGGGCAACTTTAAAAACTTTGTTTGATCAAGTCTGAATTAGATATCAAATGTTTCAAAGGAATTGAGTCTTTGCCACAAACTCAAATATTCTAATTTCTAGATCTTTTGAACCTGATGTAGACTTTTGATTTTTCAAACTAAGATAATTTGATGCAACAAATTCATAGTTTGAAATATCTAAGGTCTACGACATTGGGTTGCAGAGGTATAGGAATTATAAAATTAGAGTTTGTGTCAAAGACTCAACTCCTTTAATTATTTTCAATTATGGTTACTTTAAAGAAGTGAATTCAGCATTTTTATTGCAAGACAACATATTATTATTATCAAATTAAACACTTATAAACGTAATAAACCAATATTTTCAACGACATCATTGATCAGTTAAATCTTCAAATAAAGGGTCAATTAAAATTACGCTTACAATCCCTTTAATATTTTTTACTTACTCTAGGTTGCCCACTGGTTAGCGATGAGTAACTCCTGTTACAACCCGATTATCTATGCTCTCTATTCAACGAAATTCAGGATTTTACAACAAAAAAAGTCAGTGGTTTTTTAACCACATGTTCAGGGAATCCAGCTTTGCATTAAAATAAAATTAACTTTTTTCTACAAAAAAACAGCCCTGCACTCAATTAAAAATATTTCAACCAATCTAAGAAAATTCCCGTGGTTTTACCGAATTTCTTAATCTAAACACGCTTTCCTAAAAATTTAATTATAATTTGTCAGTCAGATACAACCTGACATGATGTAAACCTTCAATATTTCATATTTAATTGTATAAGACAGGTTTAGGATGTAAGAGAAAAATTTTTTAATCTTTTCCAAACGTTTCATCGCATTTTTCTTTAGATTAAAAATTCAAAACTTTTAAGAAAAAACAAGTCATCGTTTAAATATAATACACAAAATGAGATAAGCATTTTATGCTAGAAGATAATAATGAAGAAAATAATCTTATAAAGATTGAATCAGTTTTCACTTTTGGTTTGACAGATTTTCATATTTTTATACATTTTGTTAAATTTTACAGACAAGAATATCATAAAGTTTACGAAAACATTGTTAGATGTACACCCTCATCCAGGTACCACTTTTATCAGATGTACACCCTCATCCAGGTACCACTTTTATCATTATTGTTTTGTTTTTTATCTCTCTCACTTTCTTTAACTTTCTTTATCTTTTCTCGACCTGCTTCAGTTAGCGTATAGGCTTATAGTCACCGCTGCGCTTGGTACTGAGCATGACTCTTGTCGGAGTTAGTGACACTGAAGATGAACAAAAAATTAACTGATCTTTTTACTCCAGAAACTTTTCAAGAAACCCTTGGTCGTCCCCTGACTGAGGGAGATATTTGGTATTTAGTGGACAGCCGATGGTTTAAACAATGTCGGAAATACCTTGGGTTCAATGAGCGACTTCGTACTGCTGGGGCCGGACCAGAGACCGAGGAGGCCCATCCTGGACTTATAGATAATAGTCACCTCATGGACCCATCAGCTCCATGTGAATTAAAAGATAACATGAGGAAGGGCTTAAATTATGACCTGGTTCCTCCTGATATTTGGTTCCCGTTGCAGGAACAGTTTGGCTTGGTAGAGGGGCAGGAACCCATACCAAGAATAGTTAGGAAGTATGGTTTGTTCGGTGGGTTGTGCTGGGTAGAGGTTTATCTAACAGAGTTCTGTCTAGCTCTAAACTCAGATCCGGAAAATAAAATCAAACACAAGTTCAGCAAAGCAGATGGTTTAGTTTATGTCATGAAGAAAATAAGGCGAGTATTCAATGTACCAGAAACAGCAGAGTGCAGGATGTGGGCCAAATACATTTCATGTTATAAACTTATAGATGAATTATCAGCATTTCTGGAGTGTGGTCTATACCTAGGGCAGACATTAATCCTTGAGGTTAGGGGTGAGGATGGGGACTGGCCTAGGGATAACATAAGTCCGAGGTCAATGGAAGATAAGACGTCAATACCGATGAACTGCAAGGGCTGTAAAGAAAAGGATGAGCTGTTGGAGGACATGGAGAGGTTGTGGAGCGAGGATGTGAGAAGCATGAGTTGCAAGGCCTGTAAAGAAAAGGATGAACTGTTGGAGGTCATGGAGAGGTTGTGGAGCAAGGATTTTAGAAGGAAGGAAGATCTAGAGGAGAATTCATTTTGTAAAATATGTATGGAAGCCCCGATTGACTGTGTAATATTGGAGTGTGGACACATGTGTACCTGTACTAACTGTGGAAAACAGATGAAAGAGTGCCCAATATGTCGACAAGAAGTTGTCAGGGTTGTTCGGACTTTCAAGGCATAGGATGAACTAGAGAACAGGAGTTAACCAAAAAGTCTTTAAAAAAGTTTTCTCGAAGAATATAGTAATTTTCATTGTATAAATCGAAATTGCTTTTCTTGCTATCCCCTTTCCCCTGTTATTATAACAAAACAAAATAAAACATACACATTATAAACTTTGTGTGCTGGGTTGTCCTCCCCCCTCCCTACGATCTTTTCTTCTTCTTTTCCTCTCTATTCTTCAATACCTTTTCCTGATCCTCCTTTTCCTTTAGTTTTAAATTGTTTTTGTTTTATTTAAATTGAACATGTATATGTCTCAATGCAGAAGGGCCTCTCATTCAAAACAACCAACAATGGTTAGAGAGGACCTGGTTAAATTATCATTATATTATCATTATTTTAATTCAGAATGATGAAACTAAAGTATAGATTGTCCCGAAGTATGAAGACAATGAGCACAAAACAGGTTTAAAATAGAAATTTTTTAACAAATAAAATACAGTGATAACCAGAAAACTGTAGAGTAAAAAGACACTATATATGCAAAAAATAAATGGTATTTTCTGTGGTTAAAAAACAAACAGTTTTTCTAGTAACTTATAAAATCAATTATTTGGGCCTTTTTACACCACACAATTGTGGTGTCTCATGTCCATTGCACTATTTATAGTTATAATTAAGTCTAAATTTCGTCTTCGTAGTCGGAAGTTTTTTGGTTATCACTGTATTAAGATGTATAATTTACAATTATGTTATTATTTAAATCAGAAAAAATATTTCTTTCTTTGTTTGTAAACTATAATTTTGTCTAATTAAATGGACTTTAATTTGAAGTAACCCTCCTGCAAAGATCGCAGTGGATAGGCGGATTTTTGGCAACGTCAATTTAGTAATGCCATCTTGGTAAGGTGACAATTTGATAACGACATATAAGTGGCAATTTGGTACATATAAGTGCAATTTGGTAATGACAAATTGGTAACTACAAAAAGTGACAATTTGGCAATGACAATTTGATTGCTTCATAAAAATGACAATTTGTTAACTACATAAAGTGGCAATTTTAAGACAATTTTGAGGCCGAGCGCTGCGGCAAGCTTGAACTAGGGAACTATACGTTGCGGTCTCTTAAATGTTGAATAATGTGCTGTATCTCAAATTATTTTGGGTTGGTAGGGTTAAGACTATTTTTGGGCCGAGCGCTGTGGCTAGGACGGGCTAGGGGGCTGAGCGCTGCGGCCTCTTAAATGTTGAATAAAGTGCTGTCTCTCACATTATTTTGAGTTGGTAGGGTTAAGACTACTTTTGGGCCGAGCGCTGTGGCTAGGACGGGCTAGGGGGCTAAGCGCTGCGGGCTCTTAAATGTTAAATAAAAGTGCTGTCTCTCACATTATTTTGAGTTGGTAGGGTTAAGACTACTTTTGGGCCGAGTGCTGCGGCTAGAACAGGATATTATGGTTACAAAATTCAACGAAAATTGCTAAACAAGAAGCGCGAAATAATCAGCTACAGTCAACATTTAACATTTAAGAGGCCGCAGCGCTCGGCCCTCGAGCCAATCCTAGCCACAGCGTGCAGCCCAGAAATTGCCTTAACCTAACCTAACCCTGCATAATACAATTAATGCAATATGTATACTTACCATATTATTAGTTTTTTATTATTTCACCCTACAAAATTGTCACTACCAAAATGTCACTTTTCATGTCGTTATCAAATCTGTCATAACCAAATTGTTGGTACCAAATTGTCACTTTTATAACGTTACCAAATTGTCATTACGAAACTGTCGTTTCAAATTGTCATTACCAAATTGTCACTTTTGTGAACTTACCAAATTGTCAGTTGTCACCTTACCAAGTTGACATTACCAAATTGTCATTACGAAATTGACGTTACCAAAAATCCGCCCATCTAGCAATGTCCGATTTACATCGGTAATCTGAAACCTTAATCTGATCAAAAATGCGGAACTCGGAAAAATGTTTATATCTGTGAATTTCTCCATTGTTTCTTATGAAAACAAAAACATGCATATCCATTGCTCCCATTCATACTTTAACAGACAAAGCTTTTTGGGGTACTTTTAAAAATTCTTCTCTCTATAAACTTTATTAATCGAAAAGACTAATTAACTTAAAAATACGATAAAAGGAATTGAGTTTTTACCACAAACTCTGATTTTATGAGCCCTATATCTTTGCAACCCAATTCAAACTATGACTTCTGTTGGATCAAATGAAAAGATATAAGTTGCAAAGATATAGGGAATTTAAAATTTGAATTTGTGGCAAAGCCTCAATTTCTTGAGACATAAAGTATACAACGATGTGTGCTTTTAAAAATAGGACATTGTCAACCTTGCATAAAGTGTCACTTGAAATTACCCTTGAAGTAATTTTGAAAATGTTTAGACTGAAACGACTAGACTGGAGAAAGAAGAGGAATGTGTTCAGCTGTAAAATGTTCATCAATGAGTTCAGCTGTAAAATGTTCATCAATGAGTTCATCTGTAACATGTTCATCAATGAGTTCAGTTGTAAAATGTTCATCAATGAGTTCAGTTGTAAAATGTTCATCAATGAGTTCAGCTGTAAAATGTTCATCAATGAGTTCAGCTGTAAAATGTTCATCAATGTGTTCAGCTGTAAAATGTTCATCAATGTGTTCATCTGTAAAATGTTCATCAATGAGTTCAGCTGTAACATGTTCATCAAAGGGGCAGTCAAATATTTACCAATCTGTTTTGCTGTAAAATGCTTATCAACGCATTTAATTGTAAATTGACGATGAAGAAAATTGTAAAATGTTCCAAAATGAGTTCGTTCATGTGTTCAGCTGCAAACGGTTATTAATGTGTTCAATTTTAGATTGTCATCAATGTGTTCAGAAGTATAATTATGTTAATTAACAAGTTCAGTTATAGATTGTTCATGAATGTTTTTAGCTACACATTATCACAAATCTGATCAGACCTGAGAACTTTTGTTATTCTCAATATCCACTGTAGGCACTTTTGATTTGCTTGTTAATCCTCTTTTTTTGGATATACATACTGGGTTCAGATCAATGACAATTATCTCATTGGTTGGGTGCACATTTCCCGGCTCCTGATTGGCTGTTCGGTTTCTACAAACGAAACTCCGATTGTTTGAAATTTAGAAACGTTTCTTGATATCAAATGACGATTAAACTAATCTGCAGATTAATTAAAAAGAGTAGATCAAGCATTGATCTCGATATCCTCAATTCTATAGTTTTCCGCTCAGAGAGCACTAATACCATATCAACATTGCTTATATAAGCCGTTGTAACCCTGCATTTATATCTCCATTCTCCTTTTCAATATTTCGTTGGCCATTGTTATATCATTAAAGTTTCGTAAATTGTTGTATTTTGATGGACTCAATATGTTGGCATAATTAGATTAGAATCAGAGGATTCGCTTTTAAACCTGCTTTTTTTATATACGAATTAACCTTGTGAATTGTTCATATATATTATGCATGAAGGTGCTGAAATTTCAAAATGAAACAAAATTACAAATCCGCGTAAAAAATATAATTTGGAAGAATAATGATATGAAGCCAGAATTAGAGTAATTTATATTTGTGTTTAAAAGCTGATGTAATTAATTATTTTGTTATACCGTTCATTCAAAAATTTCCACCACAGCTATATTGTAAAGTAGTCGAATGTTATCTCTAATTTTGTGAAAAATAAAGTTAAAATAATTGGAACATAATTTGTGAATTTTTAACAGATTTTAACCGCGACCAAATTGATTGTCAAGTACAATGGATGGCAACAGAAAAATCGACCAACTTGACAACTTTATATTTGACCACGACAGCATTTAAGAAATAATTCAACCTTATTCTTTTTTTCTGAAAATATCCTAGCACATCTTTATATATACTTTGCTTGTCTGTCGTGATGTTTGTATCCAATATCCTAGCACATCTTTATATATACTTTGCTTGTCTGTCTGGTTGTTTGTATCCAATATCCTAGCACATCTTTATACTTTGCTTGTCTGTCTGGTTGTTTGTATCCAATATCCTAGCACATCTTTATATATACTTTGCTTGGGTGTCTGGTTGTTTGTATCCAATATCCTAGCACATCTTTATACTTTGCTTGTCTGTCTGGTTGTTTGTATCCAATCAACGTCAAAACAGTTGAACCAATCGGGCCTAAACTTTTTATGGCAACTTTGGCAATCTTGCCCGGAAATAAATGTCGACTTTTTTTGATATGCACACCAATTTTAAAAATTGTTGGCTTGAGAATGAACAGGTAAACTAGTGGGAACTTAAGCACCCTGAACAAATTTGAAAATTTTATGTTCTAAAAATTGCATTATGCAGAATTTTGACTCTGACAGCCAAAATTACTTTAAAGTTATACAAACGGAACAAAAAGATTGTCCAGCTAAATAAAAAATTTCAAAAATATTTTTTTAATCATGATGTCGCACTTTCAAATTGTTGGTTTGAGTTGTACTGTACTAATGAAAATATTGTTTCTGCTCAGCTAGTTCACTGGAAACTCCAGTACTGGGTCGACTTTGAACCTGCTAGAGCAAGCTGTACAGTACACACACAGACAGTTTAAGGAAAAACGGGACTGTACGCCAAATGAACAATTCCTATATACAGGGTGTCCCACGAAACATGACAGTTGTTTAAAATGACTTTTTTCATTATTTGTTCAGTTGTTTGATACCAAAGATCAATGAAAATATTATATGGGAGTCATGTTATATTAAAATTGATTTCAAAGTAAAATATAACTAGGCAAAAGATTTGTTTAACTAAAAATAACTATTTATAAAATGTCATGTTTCGTGGGACACTCCGTAGTTGAACTTATATTAGTTGTATACTTCTTGTTTGTGGTGAACCTTTTTTTTGACAAGAAAGTCATAAAAATACAAAATAATGATGATCTTTACAAACTACAAGAACATAAGACAAATTAATAAGGAAGACTAAGATTGCGTTTATTTTCAAAAAACACGGTTGCGCATGATCATTTAGATAAATGCGCATATAGAAATTATCAAATTTCTAAACTTCGACAGAAGTTGGGTTGATCAGATCTTTGAATATTTTCTCTTCTTGTAGTTCCTCTAGTTTGGTTTGTTCTTCTAGAGGTTCTTGTTCTAGAGATTCTTGTCCATCTTGTTCTTGTTCTTTTAGATATTCTTGTTCTTCATGTTCTTGTCCGTCCTGTTCTTGTTTTCCATCTTGGAAACTCAGTGATTTTCCATTTCTAAATTTTTTTATCTTCAGAAAAAAATTAAGTTTTTGTCACAAACTCTGATCTTATAACCCCTATACCTTTCATTATTCAAACTATGAATTCTGATAAATCAAACCGTCTAAGGTTAAAATATAAAATACCATCAGGTTACAAAGAAATAGGGATTTGAAAATTTATGTTTGTAGCAAAAAATCAATTCTTTAATATATTTGAAAGAAAGAAAACCCAAAGCAAACTGAATGATTGAACATTGAAATTATCTAGTTGAAATAATGAAGAAAAAAAAACATTTTTAGAGCCATTGAGTCCACAAGGTCAATTAATGAAAGCAACAAATCTATGTAAACTGTAGTTTTCGCAGGACTGCACAAATAGTCCGAATAGTAAAAGATATGCACATTAGGAATATAAACTCAAGTAATCAGAATAGTAAAAGATATGCACATTAGGAATATAAACTCAAATAGTCAGAATAGTAAACGATATGCACATTATGAATATAAACTCAAGTAGTCAGAATAGTAAAAGATATGCACATTAGAAATATAAACTCAAGTAGTCAGAATAGTAAAAGATATGCACATTAGAAATATAAACTCAAATAGTCAGAATAGTAAAAGATATGCACATTAGGAATATAAACTCAAATAGTAAAAGATATGCACATTAGAAATATAAACTCAAGTAGTCAGAATAGTAAAAGATATGCACATTAGAAATATAAACTCAAATAGTCAGAATAGTAAAAGATATGCACATTAGGAATATAAACTCAAATAGTCCGAATAGTAAAAGATATGTACATTAGGAATATAAACTCAAATAGTCCGAATAGTAAAAGATATGCACATTAGGAATATAAACTCAAATAGTGTATGATGATAGAATTGATTTTGAAGCAATAAACATTTAAACTTCTTTTATCAACAAACAATTTGTATGTGCAAAAATGGTTGGAAATTGGTTTTGAGAAAAGTACCTGGAGAAGAAAGAGGAGGAGGAGGAGGAGAAGGAGGAGGACGGGTAGGAGGAGAATGAAGAGGAGGAGGAAGAGGAGGGGAATGACGAGAAAGAGGAGGAAGAGGGGAAGGATGATAAAGAGATGGAGGAAGGGGAGGGGAATGAAGAGAATGAGGATGAGGAAGGAAAGGAGGAGAACGAGGATGAGGAGGGGAATAATGAGAATGAGGATGAGGGAGAAAATGAAGATGGTGAGAAGGATGAGGGTACAAAGGATGAAGCTGGGTTAAAGGAGGAGGGTTCAAAAGATGATGAGGATGAGAAAGAGGAAGGGTTGTATGACGCCGGGTTGAAGGATGAAAGGTTGAATGATGTTGGAATGAAGGATGAGGATGAGAATGATGATGGAGAGGATGCACAGAGTCCTGGGTAGGTAAATGAGCAGGTAGATTGTGAAGGGCATCGTGTACAACTCTGTCCAATACGGTACATCTCTCCTCCAATACGGTTTCCTCCTGGTCCGTAGTTACACACGTACAGTCTGAGCAATAATAAAATTTCGTTATAAAATTTTACTTTGCATAATTCTTGTCCTCTTCTTTTATCTGCATAATTCTTGTCCTTTTCTTTTATCTGCATAATTCTTGTCCTCTTCTTTTATCTGTTCATGTCGCCTAGTTTCTACACATAGTTATCTGATTCTCTTTTTTTTAAATTTAATTATTATTATTATTTTTTTATTTCGGTAAAGTGAAAAAGACGACATTTTAGTTTTATTAATAAAGTACTTTTCAGATTATTTACCCGGAAACTAATATTTCCAAACTGTATACCATGAAACTAATATTTCCAGATTGTATACCTGGAAACTAATATTTCCAGATTGTATACCTGGAAACTAATATTTCCAGATTGTTACTTGGAGACTAATATTTCCAGATTGTATACCAGGAAACTAATATTTCCAGATTGTGTACCTGGAAACTAATATTTCCAGATTGTATACCTGGAAACTAGTATTTCCAGATTGTATACCTGGAGACTAATATTTCCAGATTGTGTACCTGGAAACTAATATTTCCAGATTGTATACCTGGAAACTAATATTTCCAGATTGTATACCTGGAAACTAATATTTCCAGATTGTGTACCTGGCTACGAATTGTCCGGATGTATAGGAGGTAAACCCACATCCAACCTTGGTAGTTTCCGCCCATATCAGCTGGGAGTAGTGTCCGGTCTTTTGTCTAGGTATTTAAGGGATTGTTCAATAATTAAAGTAAGATACCAAACATTTATAATTCTGGTTTTTGCAGGATCACAGTGATCCAAAAGTTTAAAATTTATATATACGCCGCCTACACAAACTATCTTTGAGTAAAGTGAGGTATACTTAAAGGCAAGGGGGTTGCGACACTTCAAAGTCATGAACATTGAACATTGATAAACATAAGATTTAATTAATTAACCTAAGCATTCAATTAACTGAAAAGTTAAAATCAACATTTTTTTAGCGAACTTTCAGAACATTTTTACTCGAAAAAGGGATGAAAATGTCTTACATATATCTGAAGGGTGAAATATAAGATGTTGGGAACAGATTTATTTCATCATCAAACCAAGCTCTTAAAGCTTTATTCCAGTCTGTTCCATCCTTCCTAAAACATGATAATCATAACTTTAATAACAATAATAATAAAGCTTACAGGTATCCGTAAGTAATGAATATATTTTGTCCAACATTAAACCTAGAGACCTTACGACACGAGGAGCAGTCGTGACCATACTGAAAAAAAATTATAAACATTTTTTGACAAAGCGAAATCTTATGAAATATTGAAAATGCCAACCCCAGGAAAATGGATATATGTAGAAACATGTTTCTCATTAAAATATATATTTTTAAACCTCCACAGCATCTAAACTATTGAATTAAGTTAAAGTTCTTAAATTTTTATTTTTGACTGCTAGGCTAGGCTTAGAAAGGTAGGATCGACACATCCCATCCGCCCCCCCCCCCCCTATATTAGACATTCCTGTGGTTCCAAGTTCCAAAATTAAAATTAAAAACAAATTATTCAAAGACTTTGCATGAGTTATGATATAACAAAAAAATAAACAGAGATTACTACTTTATAAATATAATTGAATTACTTTACACTGGTCAGCTAGTCGCTGGGCTATACTTGCAAGTTCTGAATCCCATTCTAGTTTCATCATGTTGGCTGCACTAGGCTGGTTGGTCTGTCCACTGGCTACACTAGCACGCAGCCTGCAATATATTGTTAGTCAACTGCTTAAAGAGAGTTGGTCTGTAAAACCAAATAAATAGATTTCTACTTTAAATTTCTATTAGATGTATTTATGTCGAAAATATTATAAAAAAGTCCTGTAAAATAATAATAATCTTAATAATAATCATTATTATTTTGCACTAAAACTTGAGTCCAAAATTTGTTATTTGAAGCGATTCAGTCGTTAATCCATAAAAAACAGCTGAATCAAATTTTCAAAACATCTCATGGTAAGATAGCATATTCCTTAAATAGTCAGACCATTCGGAATTAACTAAATTAACCTGACTACCGATGAGCATGGATTACTGCTTTCTGAATGGATTAATTGATCCTTTCAAAAGGTGTTTTCCCGAAGGCATTTTCCCAATTGCGACTTCCCATGTGACAATTTACCAAATGAGCAATTTCCCAAGCGGCAACCTAGGGGCAAGAATTTAGGTCAGAATGGGGGGGGGGGGGCGAGCGCTGCGGCTAGAACGGGCCGTCTTGGAGGACGAGAGCTGAGGCTATGACAAACTTGGGAAGATGCCGCTTGGGAAATTGCACAGTTGGGAAGCTGCTACTTGACAAAATACATTTTGGACGTTGTCGTTGGAAAAGTGTCCAACAATTTACAAAATAAATCTGTTTTAACAATAATAAGTTTCTGCCATCTATGTTTTTACCTGTTATGAGCATCGAGAACATTTGATTGTTCTGAACTAGATAAACCTTGGGAGTACAGATTACCACACTTGCTGGACACACCACGGTACCTAGTTTAAAATAAGGTAAACAAACATAAATTAAAAATAGATAAAGGGACAGTACACGTAATTCATGGAATGTAAGGATCAAATCGGTACTCTAACTTCTCAATAAGTAGCAAACCGGGAATTAAATATCATCATTTTTCAATCTTGGAAAGTGTTAAGTTCTGAACTTTTCCTACATTCTGTCGTGAGTTTTAATCCACAAGTCATTAAAAGCTTTATCTGATCCAGTATGAATAGGATATCAATGTTTAAAATTTAAAAAAGATTATTTTCAATTGTGGTTCCTCTACAAAATTGACTTTATCAGACCTCTCAGAACTTAACACATTTAAACCTTTAAAAACGACCATTTCTTCCTAATTATTGATCAGATGAAGGTTTTAAGGATACAGTTGTTGGGTGGTTAGTGTTTTAGACCAGTTCTCGTGAAATCACTGAAGTTAAGCACACTTTCCACCGACCAGAAAGCGGATTGGTGTCCACATTGGTAGTCACGGGTTAAAACCCTGCACCTCACACAACAGATGATTCATAGATTTCCCATATGACGATAAAAGCCATAATGATCTCCAAAAATGAAACATATGTGCGTTCCTGGAAGAGAACCCCTATTAGCGTGATTCCTGAAAAAGAACCCCTAAAAGCAATGTTCCCTATAAGTGAGGTTCCTGGAAGACACTCCTATAAATGAGGTTCATGGAAGAGAACCCCTATAAGCGTGGTTCCTGGAAGAGAACCCCTATAAGCGTGGTTCCTGAAAGAGAACCCCTATAAGTGAGGTTCCTGGAAGACACTCCTATAAATGAGGTTCATGGAAGAGAAACCCTATAAGCGTGGTTCCTGAAAGAGAACCCCTATAAGCGTGGTTCCTGAACGAGAGAACCCCTTTAAGTGAGGTTCCTGGAAGAGAACCTCTATAAGTGAGGTTCCTGGAAGAAAACCTTTATAAGCGTGGTTCCTTGAAGAGAAACCCTATAAGAATGGTTCGTGGAAGAGAACCCCTATAAGCGTGGTTCCTGAAAGAGAACCACTATAAGCGTGGTTCCTCAAAGAGAACCCCTATAAGTGAGATTCCTGGAAGAAAACCCCTATAAGCGTGGTTCCTGAAAGAAAACCCTTATAAGCGTGGTTCCTGGAAGACACTCCTATAAATGAGGTTTATGGAAGAGAACCCCTATAAGCGCGGTTCCTTAAGGAACCTCCAGGAAAGAATTATCTCAATGTTCCATCTGATGAAAGTGACAATAACCTCTGCAATATCAAAAACTGCTAGCTAGCTTTTACAAGAATCAAAAACAAGTTTTTGTAATTTTGTATATCCAGCCAAGCAAGCAAAGTATATATATATATAAGTGTCGGAGAGTCCGAAACTAATTAATGATTTTATTGTCTGAAAACTTTAATTGGTAATCAAGGTTTAAGAAGAAAGTATGAAAACTGCACGAGGAGTTTCCAAATCTTGATTTATCAAAGAAAAACTTTTCAGACGTTAAACTAATTACGAACTGAAGAGAATATTTTTTGCATTTCAGAAAGTGAAAATCATCGATGCCTTATTATCGAAATTACATAGATGCTAGTTGAGCCGCTCAACATAAAAAAAATCGAAAATGGTTTAGGCTAAACCCAAATTGAATTTGGACTCGAATCTTTTTTTTCTGATTTTTGAGTAAAGATAAAATTGTAAAAAAATCGTCTTTTTCAGAGGAGGAGTGAAGTAAGATACTAAAGGGTGTAGTAAGATACTAGGGAGGGATGGAGTAAGATACTAGAGAGGGGTGGCGTAAGCTAAGAGGGAGGGGTGGAGTAAGCTACGAGGGAGGGGTGGAGTAAGATACTAGGGAGGGGTGGAGTAAGATACTAAGGAGGGGTGGAGTAAGCTACGAGGGAGGGGTGGAGTAAGATAATAGGAATGGTGGAGTGGAAAATAGATGAGGGATAGATTATGGAACAAAAAAGAGGAGGAAGTGCTGAAAAAAAGAGGGAATGATAGGGTGGGAACGAAGAATGGGCTCGGAGCAAGAACGGAAAAAGGGGAGCTTACTCCACCCCTCCCTCGTATCTTACTCCACCCCTCCTTAGTATCTTACTCCACCCCTCCCTAGTATCTTACTCCACCCCTCCCTAGTATCTTACTCCACCCCTCCCTAGTATCTTACTCCACCCTTACCTCATCCTTTGTCCCAAAGTGAATATATTGATCCGTGAAACCCGTTTACCAAATTTAGATTTCTTTTTTAGTTCAATACACCTTAAAATGTGGTCTGCAATCCTTAAAGATAAGAATCAGCACTTCAACGACCGTTTCTATAATAGGCTGTAAATTATGCTCGAGCATTTTTAGAAACGACTATCCTAGGATTTATTAAGATCACAAGTATAGCATATATCCTCAAGTTCTATGGAAGTCCTTGATATATCTTCTAGTTCTGTGGAAGTCCTTGATATGTTCTTTTGTAGTCCCTGATATATCTCCTTGTTCCCTCATAATCCCTGATATATACCCTAGTCCTCCCATAGGCCCTGATATATACCCTAGTCCTTCCATAGGCCCTGATATATCTCCTTGTTCCCTCAGATAGTCCCTGATATATACCCTAGTCCTCCCATAGGCCCTGATATATACCCTAAACCTTCCATAGGCCCTGATATATCTCCTTGTTCCCTCATAGTCCCTGATATATACCATAGTCCTCCCATATAGGCCCTGATATATACCCTAGTCCTCCCATAGGCCCTTATATATCTCCTTGTTCCCTCATAGTCCCTGATATATACCCTAGTCCTCCCATAGTCCCTTATATATACCCTAGTCCTCCCATAGGCCCTGATATATCCTTTCCTCATAGTCCCTGATAAATATAGTCTCATGGTCCCTGATATACAGGGTGTCCCAAAAAACATGGGAATTCAGTGACGAATTCGATATCGTCTTTGTTATGAATTTGCATTGTGTTACCTAATTTTAAAAGCCATAATATTATTATGTCTGCTAGAGTTTATTTTATGAAAAGGATAAAAGACTGTAAATATGTGTCTATAATGTCTCCGCAAGATGAACAGTAAATACGGACAAGTTTACACTGTTTGTATGCTGCAATTTTCTTGTTTTACTAAGTACAACCGTATGCAGTCAAAACATAAACAAACAAAATGTGAATATAGCAGACGAAACTCTTACAGATTACAGCTTTCTCAGTAGGTATCACAATACTAAATCTAAGAATTAGTTAAAAAGACGATATCGAATTCGTCACTGAATTCCCATGTTTTTTGGGACACCCTGTATCTCCTAGTTCTCTCATAGTTCCTGATATAACTTATACTTCTCTTGTAGTTCTGATATTTATACTAGTTCTCTAGTGTTGGTCCTGATTACTCTCTATAGTCCTCTTATAGTTCCTGATATATATTCTAATTCTCTCATAGTTCCTGGTATCTCTTCTTGTCCCCTTGTCCTAGTCCTTAATATGTCCTCTAGTCCTTGTGTAGTTCCTGATATATTTCCTAGTACTCATGCAGTCTTGATATATCTGCTAGTTCTAATTTTAGAGTTCCTGATATATCTGCTAGTTCTAACCTTAGAGTTTCTGATATATCTGCTAGTTCTAACTTTAGAGTTCCTGATATATCTGCTAGTTATAATCTTAGAGTTCCTGATATATCTGATAGTCCTAATCTCTGAGTTCTTGATAAATCTGCTAGTCCTAATCTCTGAGTTCCTGATGAATCTACTAGTCCTAATCTCTGAGTTCTTGATAAATCTGCTAGTCCTAATCTCTGAGTTCTTGATAAATCTGTTAGTCCTAATCTCTGAGTTCTTGATAAATCTGCTAGTCCTAATCTCTGATCTATAAGAAAAGTCCCTGTTAGTCCTACCTGCAGTTTGTATGGTAAGATGAAAACTTACAGTAGTAGTCCTGACTATAAACTACTCCTGACATCACCTCCAGTAAGAGAACCAACCTAATACCTCGCATTTTCGGATTCTAGGTAAACTTTTAATTAAGTTAAATTATTTGTTAAGCTTCAAAGCATTAAAGTAATGTACACGCAGGGTTACACACAAAGGATGCACTGTAAAGACGACCGGAAACTTTGTAAATATGACAAGATTAAATTAAGCCTTAAATATAGTTTTTTATGGTCATTTTAAAGATAGAGTATAGGAAGAAACTCATTTACAGTTGCAGGAAATCAAAGATATAACTAAAGAGATTTGGTAAATTCCGTACAGACATCTCTGATGTCTCATCCTTTGTGGGTAGCCCTGTAGAAAATTCACAAAGAAATTTTATTTGACTTGTTATTCAAAATCTTAAAACAGACTTGTTATTTCTTTGAAGACAAGAAACTGTTTTCTCTACCAAAGAATGTGAATAAAAGTACAACGTGGGGATCTCTGTCCGTAGTAACAGGTTGGGCCGGTAGAAAAGAACTAAAGAAAAAGCCCCCATGTGACAGAATGGTTGTGTGTCCGTCTATCTGTCTGTCTGTTATCTTGGATCTCAGCATTCTCAAGATTCCATCATTAAGGTTAAGAAGAAAAGCTGGAAATGAAAGAGTTGGAAAGTGGGGAGGGAAGCTGGATATGGGAGAATAAGAGCTGGAACGTGGGGAGGGAAGCTGGATATGGAAGAATAAAGATCTGGAAAGTTAGGAGTGAAGCTGGATATGGGATAATAAAGAGCTGGAAAGTGGAGAGGGAAGCTGGATATGGAAGAATAAAGAGCTGGAAAGTGGGGAGGGAAGCTGTATATGGGAGAATAAGAGTTGGAAAGTGAGGAGGGAAGCTGGATATGGAAGAATAAAGAGCTGCTGGAAAGTGGGGAGGAAAGCTGTATATGGGAGAATAAGAGCTGGAAAGTGAGGAGGGAAGCTGGATATGGGATAATAAAGAGCTGGAAAGTGGGTAGGGAAGCTGGATATGGGAGAATAAAGAGCTGGAAAGTGGAGAGGGAAGCTGGATGGGAGAATAAAGAGCTGCAGAAAGTGGGGAGGGAAGCTGGATATGGGAGAATAAAGAGCTGGAAAGTGGAGAGGGAAGCTGGATGGGAGAATAAAGAGCTGCAGAAAGTGGGGATGGAAGCTGGATATGGGAGAATAAAGAGCTGGAAAGTGGGGAGGGAAGCTGGATATGGGAGGATAAAGAGCTAGAAAGTTGGAAGGGAAGCTGGATATGGAAGAATAAGAGCTGGAAAGTGGGGTGGGCAGCTGGATATGGGAGAATACAGAGCTGGAAAGTGGGGAGGGAAGCTGGATATGGAAGAATAAGAGCTGGAAAGTGGGGAGGGAAGCTGGTTATGGGAGAATAAGAGCTGGAAAGTGAGGAGGGAAGCTGGATATGGGAGAATAAAGAGCTGGAAAGTGGGGAGGGAAGCTGGATATGTGAGGAATAGTTGAACACGGAATGGAAGAGCTGGAAAGGGGAGAGGGGAGGGGAGGGAGAAGAAAGGATTGGGGTATACGAGACAAACTGGAGCCAAGGAACGGACCTGGACTAGTTTTTATCTCTCATTCAAAATCTGTTTAAAGTATTATTAAAAAGTTAATTTTCATATTTGATAAAGCTTATTTAGATATGAAATAGATATGAAAGTATGAAATAGTTTATAAGGGATAATTTGCATTCAATGAATAAAAATGTGTAGGCAACTTTTTTCAGTTAAGGGGGGGGCACTGCGATTTAATGGTCTCACGCTCTCAAACAAAAATCGTTGACAATTTTGCCATTTACTTCTAAAAAACCAAATCTAACAAGAAGTGCTTTATAGTGCTAAAATGTACATGTGAAGGGCTACAGAAAAGCATAAGTGAGTTAGAGCGGTAAAATCTAAGCTTAGGGCGTTGCGACACTTCAAAGTCAGCCCAGTCTCAAAAATTGATGAGACATTTTATAAGGAGGCTGAATCTATGTGGGGGGGTCTTGAAAGATAAAGATAATTAAAAGAGAAGATTTGGTATGGATGGATTGGTGGGGGCGAGGGGGGGGGGCTGGTTATGGAAAACAGGCCCATTCTTTATCTTTATTCAGATCTAGAAATGGACAAAAATATACAAATAAAGATTTCCCGCGTTTTTCCACTCTACTTTACTGAGATGACAACAAAAAATAAAACTTCCATTGAAGTCAACCTGATATGTTTTCTATACCTTGTTTTGCGGGGGTTTTGCCCCTGAAAACGGGAAAACCTAACCGACAATGACCGGTGCACACATGGAAAAGACCAATATGTTTCTTTCGAGCTAATTTTTTATTTCAATTTTAAATTTTGCTTTTTAAAAAAATCTAAATTTCTGCAAATAAAGTTTAAACTTCTACAAAACATAGTTATTGTAATATGTTGGGATTTTTTTATTGTAAATTATTTCCCAAGTCAAATGGATTATTCGCAAAATTCAAAAACTAAATATATGTTCTTTTTAGGAGACATCGGCAAATTCGGTTGAAAATATTAAGTTCAGGCACAAATATGTTAATTTTATTTAATAATTTTTAATCTCAAACAACCAAAGGACATGGCCATTCTAGATAATACTTCAAAGAGAACGGCGTCAAACCTTAAAGAAATCCAACGTATAGAAACAGCTACGTATAGCAACATGGCGTATTTTCCGGGAGAACATTTTTTATATTTTTGAGAAATTAAACGTTTTTGTAAAACATTGAAGCTTATCATTGTCATTATCATAATTTCTATTTTTTAACATACCCTAGACATTAAAGGAGCAAAATAGTTTAATACGTACATTTGTACTGCTCTCTATTGTGTTTAAGGTCCCCCATGGATTTTATTATGTACTGACAACATAAATTAATGATTATATGGTTATACATAAAATTGCGTGTTACTATTAAAAAAGATATTTTATAAAAATGCTATCTACGGTTTTATTTAAAAAAAAAAATCTTAAAAGTATAAAAAAAGTTCTCCAGTAATGCTAATAAGATTTCATAAAATTCCGTTTTACCATTTAAATAAAAGGATTTTATGACAACTATATCTACTTTACACTGATTATTTAATTTCTAAAAAATATAAAAAATGTTCTCCCGGAAAATACCCCTTGTTGCTATACCTAGCGGTTTCTATACGTTGGATTTCTATAAGGTTTGACGCCAAGAGAACGAGAATTTTTTTTATCCAAGCCTGAAGAATTATAGGTTAGAGTTAATGTTATTAAACCCTTAATGTTTAGATCTACCGGACTTTTCTATACTTTTCAGTAAAGGATTACGAGGTTTGATAGACTTAGCCGTAAAATCGCCCAGAAGAAATTCTGCGCCTATACATTTTTCGAAAAGTATAATCTATAATAATAATAATACTAGATCTAATTCCTTCAAATCAATATAATAAAAAAGTTAAAGGTCATCATTTAAAACTTATCATTATCCGGAAATACATTAATTTGTGAATCATACGTATTGATTATAAATCCCACGAAACACTGATAGCAATTAAAATCATATGATTCCTTGACACCTTAATGTCTCTTGAAATCCCTGATATCTCTTGAAACCCTAATATCCCTGGAAACCCCTGATATCTCTTGAAACCCCTAATATCTCTTAAAACCTTAATACTTCTTAAAACCCCTGATATCTCTTGAGACCCTAATATCCCATGAAACAACTGATATCTCATGAAACTTTAGTATCCTTCAAACCATGATATCTCTTGAAACCCCTGATATCTCTTGAAACCCTTAATATCCTATGAAACCCCTGATATACCTTAAAACCCTAATATCCCTTAAAACCCCTGTCACTTGACACTATGATATCAAATGAAACCCTGATATCTTCTTGAAGCCCTGATATCCCTTAAAACCCCTTATATCTCTTGAAACCCTAATATCCCCGGAAACCCTGATATCTCTTGACACCCTAATATCCCTGGAAACCCTTGCTATCTCTTTAAATCCCTGATATCTCTTGAAACCCCTGATATCTCTTGAAACCCTTATATCCCCTGAAACAACTGATATCCATAGAAACCTTAATATCCTTCAAACCCTGATATCTCTTGAAAGCCCTGTTATCTCTTGAAACCCATAATATTTCTTGAAGACCTAATATCGCTGGAAACTCTAATATCTCTTAAAAACCCTGATATATCTTGAAACCCTGATATCTCTTGAAACCCCTGATGTATCTTAAAACCCTGATATATCTTGAAACACCTGATATCTCTTGAAACCCTAATATCCCATGAAACAACTGATATCCCAAGAAACCTTAGTATCCTTTAAACCATGATATCTCTTGAAACCCCTGATATCTCTTAAACCCCTGAAATCTCTTTAAACCCTAAATATCCCTTGAAACCTCTGATATATCTTGAAACCCTAATATCCCTTGAAACCCCTGATGTCTCTTAAAACTATGATATCTAATGAAACCATGATATCTTCCAGATATCAGATCCCTTAAAACCCCTCGTATCCCTTGAAACCAAAGATATTCCTTGAAAACACTCATATCCCTTGAAACCCCTGACATCTATTGAAACCCTAATATCGCTTGAAATCCCTTATATCTCTAGACACCCCTGATATCTCTTGAAACCCTAATATCCCTTGAATACCCTGGTATTTATCGAAACCCTAATATCGCTTGAAACCCCAAGGTATCTCTTGAAACGATAATATCCCGTAAAACCCCTGATATATCTTGAACCCAAAAATATTCTTTGAAACTCCTAATATCCCTTGAAACCCCAAATAGGCATCAAAACCCCTGATATCCCTTGAAGCCAAAGATATCCCTTGAAAACCCCGATATCCCTTGAAACCCTGATATACCCTTGAAACCTTGATATTCCTTGAAATCCCTGATATTCATTGAAACCCCTGATATCCCTTGAAACCAAAGATATCCCTTGAAACCAAAGAAATCTCTTGAAACCCCTGATATCCATTGAAACCAAAGATATCCCTTGAAACCAAAGAAATCTCTTGAAACCCCTGATATCCCTTGAAACCAAAGAAATCGCTTGAAACCCCTGATATCCCTTGAAACCAAAGAAATCTCTTGAAACCTCTGATATCCCTTGAAACCAAAGAAATCTCTTGAAACCCTTGATATCCCTTGAAATTAAAGATATCCCTTGAAACCAAAGAAAGCCCTTGAAACCCGTAATATCCCTTGAACTCCTGATCCCTTGAAACTCTAATATCCCTTGAAACCCCTGATATTTCTTTAAAACTTCTAAAAACTCTTTCTTTATTAAAAAATGTTTTTCATGTGCAGTGGTCAAATATGGACTGTTTCCAGGTGAAATCGGAAACTTTAAGAATTTTTCTCAAATTCTTCTTCAATTTTTCTTCCAGAGGGTTGGAGTCCAAATTCCGATGTGAATTTCATACTCCCTCGATCAAGGATAAGGTACCATTGACCCTTAAAACTAGGGGTTGAAAGTCCGGTTAGGTTCTTCTCTCTGAGTAAAAAGCAAAAATGGTCACTAGGTTAAATTTTCTGTTCCTGCTTATCAACTTGCAATCTTCAGGCCTGCTCTAAACGACTAAGATGCTGTAAAAAGATCAACTGTGAAAATTTCTTTTAAAAACTAAATCCAAGTTTTTGAAAACTGATTTGATGAGATAACATTCTTAAGTATTAAAATTTGAAGTGAGATGACTTTGAAAATATTGTTAAGTCTTCTCCATTCATCTTAGAGAGATAGAATAAATATATAGCTTTGGAAAGAGTAGCATACGATGCAAAACTTCATAGATAGGGTAGTTGTCATCTTACACAGCTGGTAATTGATAGATCTGATATAGAGCACACAAGAAAAGAAGTCAAAAAGTACTAGGCGCGTACACAGGATTTTAGCCAGGGGGGGCAATTTTTTGTGTCCCCCCCTGGCTGTTTTTGCCCCCCCCTGGAATTTTTTTGTTCAAAAAGTCAATTAAAATCATAAAAATACACCAAAAAGACTACATTTTTGGGTGTTACTAACCTAATAGAGCCTACAAATTATTCCTTTGCTCGAAAAACTAACTTTAATTTTTTAACTTTATAAATTTATCATTTAACTCCATCACAGCTAACTAAATCAAAAATCACAGCATCATTAAAAATTATATTTACACTAATTAACGAAATTTCTTCTGAAATTTTTAGATAGAATTTACTCAATCTACATAAGCTTCAATTTTCTGGGACTTGCTTGCACAAACATTTTAATGATTTTCTCAGTTGAGAGCTCGAACAGCCTTGTAGGGTGGAAGGCAAACAGTGCAAGATCGTTAAGTCTGCTCTCCGTCATAGATCTTGTGTAATGAAGTATTTATTCTCTTTAGAAGGCTAAAACTTTTCTCTCCTTGTATTAACAGTGAATTTAGACAAATCCTTAGTCCTTGGTCATTGTCAGGTGTTACTTTTTAAACGTAGTTTCCTTTTAATTTTTTATTTTCCACTGAAACGTACATATAGCACAAAAGAGAAACGTTTGTACTGGTCCGACGTTTGTACCAGTCTGACGTTTGTACTGGTCCGATGATTGTACTTGTCCGACGTTTGTACTGGTCCTACGTTTGTAAGTCTTTTTTTGTACCATCCGACGTTTGTACTGGTACCTCATATATAAAGGGTGAGTACATGTAATTTCTCCATTGATAAAGTGGCATGTGAGATTAACAGAAATACTCTTAAACGGTTTTTTTTCTAATAAAATATGAATTACATATTCTTGTTTTTTTTATGGAAAGATGTTTACTTTCATTTGTGGTTTTTCTGCACAAATGTCTTACTTCAGAAACAATGAAGATATTATCAAGCCAGAAAAACGACGTTATCTTTCACATTATTGTTCCAATTAATAAGTCAATGGTACGGTTGTGAGTCGGGCATATCCCTCTTGTATTTGAGGCCCTTAGATTATTGAATACTAACTAATTGTTTAAATTCAGCTGAAGATTATAATAATGTTGGATGAGAACCTTTACGTAAACTAATATCACTTTTTAAAAAACAAATTTCTAATTATAGGATTAATCTGGGTAAAATAGTTTATTTTAGATAAATAATACAATAGATACAAATGTGCGGGTTACTGTCAGATTTCCCTATAACAGTAAGCATGATCCATCCATCCTCTATTATAAACTGGTAGACTTCTCTGATAGAGACATCTAGTGTTGAAATTATGAACTACTAAATATCCTTCTGTGACTAGAACCATATCTGGTAATATTCCAATGTATTTACTGCTCTCCATGGTATAGGCTGCAGTATGTTCTAATACAGATGTGCTGCTATTAACAGCTGCCTTCTGTCCATAAGCTACAGCAGCTTCTGTTAGAAACCAAGCTGCTCCATCCTGAAGCTTCTCTTTACAAACTGGGGAATGAGCAGCGTATATAAACAAGGATTTAGAACAAACCTGGCTGATTACTCCTGTATATATATATCCTCTTGGTATATTCTAGAGGATATAGAGGATGAATTATCTGCAACATGAACCAAGAAAACTAGATCAGGAAACTCATTCATCAGGGTTGAATGAATAAGATACATTAGTTCAGGGTTTGTCAGGTTTCCATTCTCACAAAGTTCATCTCTTCCCACCAGCTCCCAGGGGTACATGGAGCAGGAACTCAGGGTTAGGGATAAAACAAGGATTAGAATTGTTGGCATATTATCCATTGTAGTTATTATCTTTTAGGTTAGAGGGTTCTAGGATACTAGATTGTCTAGATGTTCAATTGGTTTATTCAGGTAGGGATGGATCGTTTCCGCTTTTTTTTGAAAAACGATCGTTTCGTTTTAAAATCGACGAAGAAAAAACGAAAAACGAAAATATTCTTTTCGAAAATAACCCTTTGTTAACGACCGTCGCTTTCAATAACGACCGATAACTACGACCCTTCATTAACGATTGTTAACAATTGTTTTTAAAGAGAAAATGTATTTTTGGGCAGAATATCCGAGGTCAGAAATAATTCAGGTCATTTGTTTCGACAAAAAAACAGTTAAGACAACATTCAAAACCTTATCTTTCTGAAAAAAATTGAAATTTTTTCAAACGTTTTTAAAAACGATTAACAGCCCTAAATCCAGAATATGTGAAATCTTGGTAACGCTTTGGCTTTTGCGGTAAAAGCTAATCTGTAAATTAGCTGTTTAGGATTTAAGTTATTAGAGAATATTAATATTTTAACCAGGAAACGGTTGTTTGAAACTGAATGTGTTCATGTAGTTTCACTGGCTTTTTATATGCTGAACAATGATATAAAGAAGTGTATATTGTGTAAGTCAGGTGTGTAAACACAAAGATGTACTTAATATATTTTAAATACTCCGTGTGTGTGTGATACATCATGATATAAAGATGTGTATATTGTATAAGTCAGGTGTATAAACATAGTGATGTACTTAATATATTTAAAATTCTCGTGTGTGTGTGATACATGATATAAAGATGTGTATATTGTATAAGTCAGGTGTGTAAACATAGTGATGTACTTAATATATTTTTTAATTCTTGTACTTTCATATCATCAAGTATATGCGTGATGCAATGAAAAGATCAGTGCCTATTTTTACAGAAAGTTTTAAAAATTAATGCACGATACTTCTTTTATCATATTTATAAACTAATTTAGATGATATACGATTTGATGCAAATTTAATAAAGTCAAAGATAGACATTATTATTCTTTTTTGTAAATTTTAAACTTGCTTGTACAATACATTTGATTTTAAATGGTCATACAATCATTAATAATTTAAATAAACAACTGTAAATCTTAATTTTATAGATTAAAATAAGAATGTTAGGATTGTTTGAATTTTGTTATTGTATCAAAATTGCATCATGCTTTCATAAATCTGCTGTAAATATTAAACAAAACTTAGCTTTTATTCTTCTTAGCTTTGTTATTTCAAGCCTTAACTATTATCATGATAATAAAACCCAGAAAAAGTAATAAATGCCAAACTGGTTAATAATATTAGTACAATGAAAGATTTACACATACATCTGTTGACCGATTACCCTCAAAATTTTATTAGGAAATTTTTAATTTGGAAATTCAAAAGAATAAAGTTTCCTGGCAAAGCTGGGTTCTAGGCCGGTACCCCCCCCCCCCCCTAAAGGAAGACTGCATGATTTTTTTGTTCACAGGACTGAAGTAAAAACTTTGGTGTGAAGTATCGTTAATCTTGAACACTTGATCTCGAAATCCAATATGTGGCCACTTTTAGATTTTAGGATAAATGCTAGATCCATAATTTAAGATTTACAACTCAAAATTTCTTACTTCGGAAGACTTCTAAATTTTCAAGACATTCATTTTGATAAAGCCAAACCTCAAGTAAATTTTTATTTTATTTTATCTAACTTTGAATATTTGAAACAATGACGATAAAGGTTTAATCTGTATATTTGGATCCACCAAGCTCTCACTGATGTCAGAGTCTGAGACATCATTTCGTCTGCCTGACTCGGTTTTCCAGGGAAAATACTCAGGTTTATGGGGTCTTCTTGTAATCTCAGTATAATCCAAGTTTGGTGGATTTGAAGGATTTTCTGTACTCCTAGTGTACCGCTCGTCACATACAGTACATTGATAAACCTGAATAATAGAATATAATCGAATAGGGAGAATTCTCAGAAATTGAACAGGGTGTATAGGTAAAGGCCAATAAGTTGATTACATGATGTCTTTCAATTACACAGTTTCACGTCTGGGTGCCACTGTAATAATAATTTCAACTAGTTTTCTAATTTAAAAAAAAGTTCCTATGATATCCCTGATTTTACAAGCGCAATTTTTATAGGATACCTTTTAGAATTCTAGCCAGTTCAGCTGCTTCGACATGATATAAACTAGAGATATACCTGAGTACAACGTTCCGTGCATTTCTTCTTTGGAACTCTAGTACAGATTTCACGTGGTGTACTTGAGCACTTCTCGGTTGGAAACTTTTTACACTTTTTTCTAAAATAATAATGTTCTTAGATGGGCATGATTTTGTTAACAAACAAAATATTTAGAATTTTCTTGAACAATGGTGTCATTCAGAAGAATTTACAAACGATGAACGATCAAACAAGAGAAATAAAGATTTAAACAATCGATCAGCATTTTATGTCATGGTTACATGAATGAACTGAAAAAACGAACAAAACGGAATGTAAACAGACTTTTATTTATGGATATTTACCTGGGAATATAATCACATGACTTTCTTGGTGTCTGTGTGCAAACCTCTTTTGGTTCTTCAACGCAATTTTGGTTTACAACCTGCTTGCATTCCTTCCTGGGGACATTATTACACTCCTCTTTTAATACTGTCTTACACTCTTCACGAGGAACATCCTCGCAGACTGTATCAGGAACAGGTCGGCAAACCTTACGCGGAGATTTTCGACATTCTTGTCTCTCAACGTCTTTGCATTCTCGCCGGGGTACATCTACACACTCTTCACGAGGAACATCTTTACATTCCTCTCTATCAACCATCTGACATTCTTGTTTTGGAACAGGAACACATTCTTCTCGTGGGATATTCTGGCACTGTTCCTGTTGGTAAAAATCACACCGTTCTCTGGGAACTTTTTCGCAGCTTTGACGAGGAAGGTTCTGGCAAGATTCTCTTGGAACAAGATTGCACTGCTGACGAGGAACTAGCCTACATTCTTGTCGTGGACGTGTAGCACATTGTGTATTAGGCAGGGTCGTGCATTCCTGTCTTGGCACTGTCTGGCATGACCTAGATAATAACTACCTATACCGCCGGTTCAAATCTTGAATCATCGATTTATAGTTAAAGATTAATGAGGTTTTGAATCGTTAATTCAGGATTTGAATCAGCAGTTTGGCCCCAGAGTAGTAAAAAATATTAATTGCTTATTTAAATTTTGTTCCAACACACCTTTGTGGAGTACTAGTGCAGTTACCCCTGTTTAGTTGGCATCTTTGCCGCGGAACATTTCTACAGGTACTAACAGGTTCACTCCTACACACGCGTCTAGAAACTGGTCTACAGTTGCTGTTAGCTGGGATTCTGTTGATTCCAACATTGTTGGATTGCCCCACATTATTAAAGACTTGTCTCTCCACACGAGCTAATTCATCTGAAACTTCAGGAAGGTTTTCTTCAACTCCATCTAATATATCTGTTATATCCTCTTCTGTTTGTCTTTTGCCTCGAATACTTCCTAGAAAATATGAATAAAATATACTTTTTCAGAGCAAACTAATAGAGAAAAAATCTATTCTGTTTCAAATAAGTTTTCTTACCTGAAACTGAACCAGTTCTTTCAAATCCCAAAACCCCGAAGGAACTCTCTGAAAACCCTGTTCCTAATGACGTAGTTGATCCTCCAAACGGATTTCCAAGGGAGGTACCGGAACCTCCAAATTGATTCCCCTGGGTGGTACTTCCAAATTGATTCCCCTGGGTGGTACTAGAACCTCCAAATTGATTCCCGAGAGAAGATACAGAACCTCCAAATTGATTCCCGAGAGAAGAAACAGAACCTCCAAATTGATTCCCAAGGTTATTGAACCCTTGATTGATTAAGGATGGTATTTGTCCTCCAAATGGTTGATTAAGATTAGAATCACACTGTAGTTCCTGAACATCATTACATGTCTGGGTTGATGTACTTTCACACACTTCTTCTTGTACAGTAGTGCACTCATTCTGCTGATTGCTGCACTGTTGTACATTCAAAGTTGTACATTCTTCATCTGATATTGTTGTACACTGCTGGTTGTTGGTTGTCAAACATTGTTGATCATTCACAGTAGTACAAACCTACACAATTTTCAAAATTATTATTAGTTAAAGTGACTGTAAGCGTAACTTTAAATGACCTTCCATTTATAGAGTGGCATGTCTGATTTAAAACGATACCCTGTAAACCTTTGCATGATAACAGATTTCGAAGCTAGTCTTATTTTCATAGCCGAAAATTAACTGCCAAAACTAATTGCTTGACTTCATTTGGAGAGTTTGAATAGAGTGAAAAAGTGGTTAGGGTTCTGGTCTGCTCAGCTAGAACCAGACTTTTTAGGGAAATAGATAGATTAATGAACAGTAGGGCGGTCAATGTGATCGCTTAATACTACCTTATCGTTGTCAATTGGACATGCCTCTATGAAAATGGAACGTAACTTGAAATTACGCTTACAGTCCCCCCGTTAACCTTATCTAAGATTCTATTTCACACCTGCTCATCCAAAGTTGTGCATCGTTGTTCTGTTATTGTTGTACACAGCTGATCATCAATGGTTTGACACAGGGTCTCTTCTTCAGTTCTACAATAGAACTTTTAAATAAGATAAAGTTAAGCTACATTTAGGAGTCAAGTTGTGTCTTCTAACTAATCTTCTGTCTATTTAAAAGTTCCAATCCCAGGATTGAGTTTCAAATTGGTAGGATTAGGAAAGAATATTATTGATTGATTGTTGTAGAAAACTACAAACGTCGTCGCCGTATATATCAATACAATGAAAATGATTTCTACCAAGCTGTCAAACAATATTAATACAAATAAACAAGGAAACAAAGAGGAGCTGTCAATTAGCAGCTTCTGTTTTCTTTAAAAATAAAAAAAATCTTGTTAGAAATAAAAGCTTAAAAAGAAACGTCGTCTTTGTTGTATTGATGTAAACGCCGACCATTGTACCTGCATTGTTTATCATCTACTATTCTACACTCTTGATCCACCACTGTACTGCACTTCTCTTCATTTACAGTTGTACACATTTGATCCTTAACATTTAACAATGTAGTTAGTTGTTTTCCCTAACTGCAAAGATTTCAAAGACATGTTTGCTTTTGATAAGCAATGTAATAAAGAAAAAAAACCACAACTTTTTAAACGATCGCTTTTAGTTTGATTTTGGTTCTTTTTGGGGCTTGTTTTAGTATATATTTTCTCTAAAGGGTCAAAACTTAATAAAGTGGAATAAAATCAAATGTTTAAACAATTTTGAAATTTTAAAAGCTTTCCGGAACTTTTTGGGACCTTTCAAAAGTCCTAAAACGCTAAGCAATATGGACGTAAATGTATAACAATGAAACGCAAGACTTTAAATAATTATTATCAAGTTATAATATATTTTTGTTTGATTTTAATAAAATATTTTTATAAATCTAAATTCTGCAAATTCAGTCAATTCTAATTATTATTATTTCCTTGTCTATATTTTCTTAGCAAACATTTTTGCGCTCGAATATATTAATTTTGTAAAAATATTCACCTGCACTGTATTGCATGTTCTATCTGTGATTGTTGTACATTTTTGTTCCACAACAGAATCACATTTTTGCTCTGTTATTGTATCACATACATCCTCCATCGTAGTTTCACATTCATCCCTACAATATCAAAATGCCGTAGACATTTGATATGTCAAAACTATATATATATATATATTTCCGCTAACGTTTAAAGTTTAAAGTATCAATGGATTTCACAATTAGGTTGCAAATATATCGGATAAGAAAATTTTTTTTTAAATTGAAAACTTATTTCTGCTTAAATGAAAATAAATATTTTCAGAAATCATCCCTGAGTGCTGTAATATACAGATTAAACTTTGAAAGTGGAGTACATCATTAGCGTACATCATCACTCTATCTACTATAACCTCGTTGCTAATAACTCTTTCTAACCACTGGTTTAAAACTACATTCACTGAACAGATTGTTAAAATGGGGGGAAGGGGGGATAATTTTTGTTGAATAAGTAATTACTCCTCCCCCCTCCTAAAACCCTCAAGCATGCACCTTCAATATTTGTTCATGGTCGGTGTAGAGTAACCGCGCACTTATTAAACATTTTTATAGTTTGCGTAGAAATAATGCGCGCATTAACTCATTTACATATGGTGCGTAATTCCCGTTTTCATAGACACGAAAATAATAGACAAAATCTAAAAAAACAGACACTTAGACCTATCAAGGTTACCCCCACAAAGGGTGAGAGTTTAATGACGACCTTTCAGGGTTACCCTCGCAAAGGATGAGAGTTTAATGACGACCTTTCAGGGTTACCCTCGCAAAGGATGATAGTTTAATGACGACCTTTCAGGGTTACCCTCGCAAAGGATGAGAGTTTAATGACGACCTTTCAGGGTTACCCTCGCAAAGGATGAGAGTTTAATGACGACCTGAAACTCTTGAATTATTGCGAACTAAAGGATTAATTTGATCGGCCTTTGATATTTGTTTTAAGCTTATAGACAAAATTATTTTAAAAATCAACTAGCTAACAGATTGACAGAGTAGTTTATGGAAGAAGACAGATTGAATAAATACTGCACTCTCGTTTCTGTAGTATTATTGTTTGTAGGTTTGTATGTGGAATTTCGAAAATTATGTTTTTTGCAATTCCGCCCTAGCATTGTGGTTAAATTCCTCCCTGGTATTGCAGTTAAATTACGCCCTGGTATTGCAGTTAAATTCCGTCCTGGTATTGCGGTTAAATTACACCCTGGTATTGCAGTTAAATTCCGTCCTGGTATTGCGGTCAAATTCCGCCCTAGTATTGCGGTTAAACTAAGCCCTGGTATTGCAGTTAAATTATTCCCTGGTATTGTGGTTAAATTACGCCCTGGTATTGCAATTAAATTCCGTCCTGGTATTGCGGTTAAATTATGCCCTGGTATTGCGGTTAAATTATGCCCTGGTATTGCGGTTATACTTCGCACTGGTATTGCGGTCAAATTCCGCCCTAGTATTGCAGTCGAATTCCGCCCTAGTATTGCGGTTAAATTCCGCACTATAGTATTGTGGTTAAATTCCGCCCTGGTATTTCGGTTAAATTTTGTAACTTATAAAAATATAATAAAAATAAAGATTTTATAATAGTTTTGTTCTTCTTAATTGCTTTAAAAAAGATGTTCAATCAACATAAAAAACTTTAAAAATTGATGAATTTTAGTAAAGTAAATTGTCAATTGTGTATCGCAGAGACATTTTGATCGTTTCCACGTTTTCGATTAAAACGACCATTAACGACGACCCTGTTATATACGATCGTTAACGACATGTTAAAGAGAAAATACATTTTTTGGTCGGAAAATCCGAGTCAGAAAACATTATTTGTCTCGATAAAAACCCATTTAAGACAACATTCATACTATTATCTTCCTAAAAAAAATGAAATTTATTGTCAGAAAACTCAGTTTCATTAGCGAAATTCTTTCAAGTTTTTTTTCACTTCAAAAGGAGTGGTTCGTTTTCAAAACGATAGTTTTTTCTATAGACAAAACGATTGTTTATAGAAAAAAAATTCGAAACGAAAAACGATCGTTGTATCAATTGTTTTTAAAAACGATTAAGAACCCTAATCAAACATTCACTATCATGTATCCACTATAATGCATATGTCGTCTTTAAATTGTCACGTTTGTCTGTTTTTCCCTTTACCTAGTAGTTTCTGTGCATTCTTTCTTTAATGTTTGGCGGCATTCTCTGTCAGGCACCTACACAGTACATGTATTACAAAAAATGTTAGAAAATGTTTTAATAGCAAATGTTACTATTAAAATGGAGTATAGGTTTACGTCGAAAAATAATCGCTTTTGATCGCTACTAGTCTTACTTCTATCTGTTGCGTCTATTAGGAGAAAATGGTTAAAACTACTCATACCGAAAAGGTAGCATCCAAACAAATTCAGAAAGTTACGACATTCAACTTGGATCGTAAAAAAAAACAATTTAATTCTAATCAAATCATTAAGATAATACAAACAATAGTCATCGATTATTTTTTGACGCATTTGTTATAGTCAATATTTCATAATATTTTTTTTATTTTTCATGAGAGTTACTTTTGAAAACATTTATTTCTGTTTCGAGGATTTTTGATAATGAAGACGAAATTTTCATATTTTCCAGGAATGTTCGAAAAAAAAAATATTATTAAATATAATGAATTCGAATGTGTCGAAAAATAATCAATGACTACTGTTTGTAATATCGAAATGATCTGTTTGGAATTAAATTGATTATTTTACGATCCGAGTTGAATGTTGCAACTTTCTGAATTTGTATGGACGCTACGTTCTTTATTATAAGTCGTTTTTAAAAATTTTCTCCTTACAGACGCAACAGATAGAAGTAAGATTAATATCGATCAAAAGCGATTATTTTTCGCCGTAAGTCTATACCCCTTTCATTTTATGAGAACACTCATTTCATTTAAACTCTAGGACATCATATTTTTGTTTTTAATAAATTGACTGACGTCACTCTGCATAAGGGAAGTGAACATATGTTTCGTGTACGAGGTTTGCATACATATATCATTTTGTGAATTATTATTCAAATTAGTTTCATTAATTCACAAGGGATACTTGCTAGTTAATTAATTAATTAATGTACGAACACGCATACATGTTAATTAGCTAACAAAGATAGACAATAATAAGAAGATTCAGATTCCTAAAAAGACCAACTTCAATTCAAACTCAGGAAAAATTTAAAAATAAAGCATTATTATATTTCTTCAAAGCGGCCGAGCGCTGTGTCTAGGTGACTGAGTGACGGGGAATCGTACATTCAGGGTTTGCCATGGCGCCGAAATTAAGAGGGGTAAGTTTTATGATTTGATTTTGATGCAGTAAATCCAGAAACTGCACACTAGCTCTTTAACTACAAATAATTATCATTTTTATCAAAGCATTATTTTTCCTTCACCTGTTTGCACTCTCTTTCTAGTTCTATCCCGCATTCCTCCTTTACCTCTGCAACATAAATCAAAAGGAAAAAAATATCTTTTGTTATCCTTTCATCCTGGACTAATCAGAGTCTAAAACTGGAGAACAAAACTTACGACTTAAATGTTCAGTTCCAGCTTAAATGGAGCCTCAATTCTGACTTAATTTAAATCGGAAAATTTGAATTTATAAATAGTTTTCCCTAATCTGGAATAGATATATACATCCTAAGCTGGGAACTTTTGAATGGTGGATTTCGGGATTAATGCTAAATGCGCTCTTTTTCATAATCTCCAGATTAAATAATGCTTGTTATCCTCTTTTTCTTAATCTCCAGATTAAATAATGCAAATTCTCCTCTTTTTCTTAATCTCCAGATTATATAATGCTTGTTCTCCTCTTTTTCTTAATCTCCAGATTAAATAAGGCTTGTTCTCCTCTTTTTCTTAATCTCCAGATTAAATAATGCTTGTTCTCCTCTTTTTCTTAATCTCCAGATTAAATAATGCTTGTTCTCCTCTTTTTCTTAATCTCCAGATTAAATAAGGCTTGTTCTCCTCTTTTTCTTAATCTCCAGATTAAATAATGCTTGTTCTCCTCTTTTTCTTAATCTCCAGATTAAATAATGCTTGTTCTCCTCTTGTTATTAATCTTCAGAGCTGGGAACTTTTGAATGGTGGATATTAGGATTAATGCTTGATCCACTCTTTTTCTTAATCTCCAGAGCTGAAAACTTTAGAATTGGATATCCTTAATCCTGATCCGATAATTAATCTGGAGATTAAAAATGAGAGGAGAACAAGCAATATTTAATCTCGAGATTAAGAAAAAGAGTGGATCAAGCATTAATCCCGATATCCACTATTCTAAAGTTTTCAGCTCAGATTAAATATGGCATGTTCTCCTCATGTTATTAATCTCCAGATTAATTAACCGATCGGAGCTGGGAACTTTAGAATGGATAAACTTTAATCCTGACTTCTTGATCCGAATATCCACTGTGGAAACTTTTCATTTTAGTCCTAATCCACTCTTTTTCTCTCTCCTTGGATAACCGTAAATTGTTTTCTCCAATGAGAATATTTCTGTTCTCTCATTGGTTGCCCGCTTTTCTCTGATTGGCTGCTACAGTTTCTCAGATGATTAAATATTAATTTGAATTTTATCGTTTTTCATACACGATAATCTTGCAAGATTATGTTAATCTTGAGATTATGAAAAAGAGAGGATCAAGCATTAATCCCGATATCCACCATTCTAAAGTTTTCAGCTCAGGATAAGGATATCCAGTTCTAAAGTTTTCAGAGCTGAAAACTTTAGAATGGGATATCCTTAATCCCGATCGGTTAATTCATCTGGAGATTAATAACAAGAGGAGAACAAGCATTATTTAATCTCGAGATTAAGAACAAGAGTGGATCAAGCATTAAACCCGATATCCACCATTCAAAAGTTCCCAGCTCAGCTCAGATTAATTAACCGATAGAGATTAAAGATATCCCATTCTAAAGTTTTCAGCTCTTTATCTGTAATCTCTGTCGGTCTGTAATTTCCGTAATTTCCGTAATCTGATTGGTTCATATTTTCCCAGGGAGATTAAAATTACAAAGAAATTAAACTGCATGCATATAGTTCCTTACTTGCATAGATGCAGCAAACCATGAACTTGAAAATTATAAATATATACAAATCTGTTAAGTCGTCTCATGGATATCACTGTGCAATTATTTCATCTTATTTACATAGACAAAAAAATTATATTTCTGATAATTGGCACATTTAAACAGAAACGAATTGCCGTCCGTGAGCATTGAAATAAAAGTAACGAGGACATTTTTTGTTAGTTTTTTTTTGATGGGAAATAAAAACTGTAGATTTGATATAAGGCCCAGGGGAGTGTATACATCATAAAACATCATTATATAATAAACACACAGTTTAATACACAATTGTACAACTTCTACATACAGCTCAAATCTCGAAGCAGACTAGATACTTTTTTGACCCTGATTATCCTTAAACCACCTCTAGGTCAGTCAGCTGGACGTTTCTTTTAGATTCAAACAAATATAGTAAAATGTAAAGATTAAAGTACATTACCGTCTGTACACTTTTTATCGAAGACGATATCACAGTCCACATCAGATACAGCATCACAGTGTTTCTCCTTTACTCAGTTTCAAATGGAGATTATTCAATAATAGAATATTGCAAAATTGTTCTGCAGAAAAACTTTCTAGATTTTTTTTTATTTCCTATAATTAGGCTTTTTGACATTGTCCTAGAAAAAAATGAAATGAAATTTGTTTGGATTTTTCGAAAGAATTTTTGTTTTAATGAATAATTTTCCTGGACTGTTTTGCATTTAGTTTCGTATTCAGTTGTACATTCCAGCTTCTCCCTGCAGTACAATACATACAAAAGGTATTCTACATTTAAATGGACTGTAGACGTAGTTTCAAGAGGAATAGCCGATTCACAACGGTACCCTGAAGTATACTGTCTGATCTATCATTTTTGCTGATGATATATTGTCAGAATTTAACTGTTTACGAGCTAGACAAACGACGATATCTTCCTCATTATTAATCAGATAAAGGTTATAAACAGTATTGTTGTAAATTGGTCATGTATCTTTTATAAAGGAGGTTCATTTGAAATTACAAAGACATTTCCTTTGAGAGAAAAGTCAATTATAAAAAATAAATTATTGTTTAACTTACCTAACTGTGCAGTATGGTTCTTCCACTAAGCTACAAACTGGTTCACACTCCTTGCTGAATAATCCATCAAATATTTGATTATTGTGATTGCTCAATTATTCTGTTTCCTAACTCTAGCCAACCATTTTAAATGCAACTATAAATTCAATTTGTTGATTTAATTTGATAGAAAATCCTGTGAGTACAGTCTGCAGATATTTTATAACCAGATTTAACAGTTTTACACTTCTGGGGACTTCCATACTCATACTCGTCCCATTTCCTTAAAGGCCAGCTTGGAGGATAGCCGCCATGTTGGATATCTTGATGGCTATCATGATGGTTTTTGATATGGCTGCCATGATGGTTTTCAATATGGCCGCCATGATGGTTTTCAACATTGCCGTTATTATGCTTTTCAATATGGCCACCATGATTGCTAATTCTTGCAGGAGACGCCACTCCAAGCCCCAGAAATAATGCCTATAGAGTATTTTTCGTAAAGAGAATGTAGTCGTAATTTAAAGAATTTATTGCCTGATTCACAATGGTACAATTAAAATCTTTAATCTAATGTGGAAGATATCAGCAAAGTGTTGAGTTGTTACAAATATTACCTTTTTCGTCTTTTTACACAACGCCGCAAGTCACTTTTACCGTATAGACTATTTAGATCAACAAAAAACTATAGTGCTCAAAAATGATATCTTCAACGTTCATGAAAACACGTAAATTGTAAAGGGCAACTTTGAGAATTGGGCATGGGAGTAGCCCCTTCTAAACTGGAGGGTCACTTGAAATTACGTGTACATTCCCTTTATTTTTATATTTATGAGACTATTTCTCCTTTTTAGATCAATTTTATCTGTCTGAGCAATGCAAACATGATTTAGCAGATTGCCATGCAATGACAGTACGACAACTTCGATGGAGATAAAAACTTTGGGATGAAAAACTTTTGTTCCTACTAAAAGTTTTGCAGTACACATTTTTTATTTTATGACTTTGTTTTGGTGTCAAAAGTCATGATTTTTCCAATTACTTTTTACATTGTAATTATAATGGATGTCACTAAGAAGGGAGTGTCTACTGTACAGTGTACAGTGCACCAGTGTGAAGGTTCCAACATTTCAAAATTGTATTCATACAAATGTTGGATATTATTGAACTATGCAAAATTTTACTCTAAGAGGAAATAAAAGGAAAAAACAAACCAAAAAATAGTCACTTTAAAACAAGTTTTTTGGATTGTTTTAGTTTTGTTAATTTGCCTGATTAGTTTTATATTTATCTTCGCTTAGGGTCGAAATTTGGCAGAGTGCAAAGTAAAGCAAATGCTGATAGTAAATAATTTTGAACATTGCCAAACTTCTTGTATTTTGTGAAACCCATTTAAAAGTTTCAAAACCTTAAACGTGTTATTGCCAATCACTTTGCCAAAGATTTTTATTTTCTTTAAAAAACTTCTACACCCCTCGTTATTATTGTTGAACAACTGTAAAATAATCCTTGAATATTTAAAAAAAACAGTCGGCGTCGGCGTCAAGACGACTTTCGATTTCAATTTTGATTTAAATTGTTAAATATGATGAATATACAAAAACAGAAGTAAAGAGAAGCTGTCAATTAAAAGGTTTCTCTTTGATTACTTGTAAACTTGTAATTTGAAAAAGTTTATTACCATTTCAAACTAAGATTAAAAAAGTGATTTTCATTGTATTGATATAATCGCCTATCGTATTTCTTCATTTATTTATGTTTTTAATGAAAATACTAAAAACTAATCCCATATCGACCTCACTGCTATAGATAAAACTAGTTTTGTGTGCTCTCCCTTTATTATGATTGTTTTTTATTTCTCACCCAGACGGAGATCATAATGTTTCCTTGTATTCACTATTTATCCTTCATTCTTGACTAGGCGAGGTACAACTGTTGGTGGAACAACCAGCAACTCTAATTCACATTTCAGAAACCACAAACTTTATGCGTTACTTTACGACTAGGGTCATTTTTCAGCGGAATTCTAGTTTACGTATGCGGAAACGACCCGGAATTTTTTCCATTTCAATTATGGAAAAGGTTCCGTTAAAACAATATTCGTACTCATGTGTCTCATTTATTTTTCGGTTTCCAGTTTACGGAATGAAAACCGGAAATTAAGGAATTGAACCCTAGTTTTTTTCGGTTTAAGAATTATTTTTCCGGTGTACGGATTAAAAACTGGAAATATTTTCTTTTGAAAGGCATGTAAGGAACCTAGAATTTTTGTTCTATTTACGGAAGGAAAACTGGAAATATAACGGTTTACGGAATGGAACATTTTTGTTTTCATTTTTTACGGCAATATCCCGGAATTCCCCTTTATAGAACAATTTACCTGATAGTTCCATCTTCAATGATTTTTTCTGCTCTTTGTTTGATAAAATACCGTCAAAATGTAATTTGCTTATGTATATGCTTTTTTTCTATAAACGGTTTAGGTCTTAAACAGTGATTATTTTCTTTATTGTTCAGAATATGTAGAATGCCGAATGCTAAAGATATATCACTGTAAAGCGTAAACTAAAAATGCAAATCTTTCAAAATTTCACCAAATACTCCTTAAATACTGCATCTGGCAACCCTTCACTGCAAACTCAGCAGAATGAAAAGGTCAAATTTACGCAATATTACTGGTGCGATTTTGTGATATCATAGTTCATCAAGTTTAAATTTTATAAACATTTTTGAGAAAGCAAATTTATCCAGTTACATACAGGGTTACCCACAAAGTATGAGACTCCAGACGATTTTTTCAAAATATCAATTGAATGCAGAAATCAAAAATCAATCTTCAAATTGTCATTTTTATAGAGTTTTGGGTCGTCTTTACAGTCTCATCTGTTGTGGGTAAACCTTTATTTGAAATTCATAACAATTGTGTTCTTGTCAAAAGCTAGAGTTATGATTCAAAACATAAAGATCTAAATTTTGAGTGCTATAAATATTCCAATGTTTGATGCAACGTTCAAAGGAATTGAGTTCCTGTCACAAACTCAATTTTTTAATTCCTATATCTTTGCAACCAAGTATCGTAGACCTTTGATATTTCAAACTATAAATTATGTAAGATAAGATAGTCTAAGTTTGAAATATCAAAGTTTTACACCAACAGGTTGCGAAGATAAAAGGATTAGAAAATTTGAGTTTGTGACAAAAACTCACTTCCTTAGGGCATCAAAAGTGCAAGTATGTAAAGTCAATTTAAGGACAAAGGCTTAGCGACACTTGACATTCTGACCGGTCTCATCAGTGAATGATTTTGTAATTACGCGCAATAATATTATCAATAATCCTAGTTAATAATGTCTTAAAATAGACATTTTGATTTATCGTTCTCCATAAATCAAATCCTAATTGACTACAAACAATACAGCGATTTGCATTCAGCAGTAAGTAGCTTGAAAAAAATGAAATAATGGGTGTTCAAGAAAACGAGGTTTACAAATATATGCATTAAGCTCGAGTAGCATTATTTGTCTTTTGTCACCACTGTTAATAAATGACAAAAGCATTTTAAAATGTAAAGATAAATTAACCCCATTAAACAAATTGTATGAAATTTTACTTTCTCTGAGGCCGAATTTAGAGAATTTTAACCGCGTCTCAAGTTTGAGACGCGGCTCAAACATCGCTGGTTCCGCTTGACATTGTATTCAATGATTTGAGCCGGCGCTCGATTGTAACCGGTTTTAGGCGGTTCAGCGACGGGGGTTAAATTCTTCAAATTCGATGTTAATGTTTTAAAACTAGATAATTATACAACATAAGAAATTATGTCAGTTTTGCTTTATGATGAAGTTGCACGAAAAACTTTTATTTCGCTAAAATTTCCATAGTTGATTTTCGTTTTTCTACATATGAAATATAACAAGTACTATTTTAATGACATAAATTAACTGGGATGCATTGGTGTAGATGTGTACTTTAGTACACTGAGCCCGAAATTTAAAAGAGTATCGTTGAACGAAACTCCCGAGTTTCCTTTTTGGGGTCTTAACATTTTGTAGATTTGACAAAAATGGAAAATGTGAAGAAACTTAATAAAAAAAAAATATTTCATAACAAAAATATTGATATCCACAAAACTGCCTAACCCCATTCTTGAAACCCGGGTTTCAAAACTGGTTTTCATAACGATACCCTGTTTTAAGTTTTGGGCTCTGTATGCTAGTGTACACTGTACGGTAAACGTACGTACCGTACATATTTATATCGATTCTTAGGTAACATTTGAGTTTTCTATTCTGGTATGAATAGTTATGAACAAGGAGAATTGAATTCAATTAGGTAACATTTGAGTTTTCTATTCTGGTATGAATAGTTATGAACAAGGAGAATTGAATTCAATTCTCCTTGAGTATTCTGGTAATCAGAAATAACCTTTACTGATGTACACAAATATACGATGTATTCTTGTATACAGGGATTTAGTATACTGGTAAACAGGGATGTAATATTCTGGTTAACAGGGATTTAGTATTCTGGTAAATAGGGATAAGCTATTCTGGAATACGGGATGATCTGTTCTGGTATACAGGGATGAACTATTCTGGTTTATAGGGATAAACTGTTCTGGTAAACAGGGATGAACTATTCTGGTATACAGAGATGAACTATACTGGTATACAGAGATGGACTATTCTGGTATACAGGGATGCATTATTCTGGTATACAGGTATGCATTATTCTGGTATACAGGAATGAACTGTTCAGGTATACAGGGATGAACTATTCTGGTATACAGGGATGCATTATTCTGGTAAACAGGAATGAACTGTTCTGGTATACAGGGATGAACTATTCTGGTATACAGGGATGAACAGGTGTTCTGATCCATTTCTCTGGCTCCTCTCCTTCTCCCTGTATACTGGGGGGTATGGATACAAGGAACTCTGGAACCCAGGACTCAGGTTTAAGATCTGAATCTAAGGGAACCATCCGGACCTGGAACTCAGGACCCTTAACAAACAAATAGAAATATTTAAATATATTCAAAGAAACAATATTTAGTCATTAAAAGTTATTTTTTATTGGTTTGAAGACTAAGCACTCTCAAAACTGAAGGACAGCTCAGTAATGAAGAGAATTTTTATTTTTTCTTTGATTTTGATATGATTAATAAAAAATTTCAATTTCATATTTACATTAATTATTGTACTAAATTGAATGGTTAGTTTTACGGTAAAGACTCAAATATAATTTTCTCTATTTATTTGGACTCTCTGTATCAATATTAAATGTTGTCTCATTTGTATTTTACATAATTTTCCCACACTCCTCCCTAGTTTTATGGAATTCAATTTACTAAAGATGCAATTTTAATTAATAAGGATCTAATACCGCGGTTGCAAAATGTTGGTGCTATAGTAAGTCTGTGGTGAGGATCATCTATCTGTGTGGCTTGGATAAGTCTATGGTTTGGATCATTTACCTGTGTGGCTCGGAGTTTACATTTCGCTTTAAATCCTTCCAATCTTATTCTTTTAGTTTCACACCATCTTCCGCCCTCAATACTAGAAACAAGAGAGATATGATAACTTTAGTGAAACTAGAAACAAGAGAGATATGATAACTTTAGTGAAACTAGAAACAAGAGAGATATGATAACTATAGTGAAAACTAGAAACAAGAGAGATATGATAACTATAGTGAAGACCAGAAACAAGAGAGATATGATAACTATAGTGAAAACCAGAAACAAGAGAGATATGATAACTATAGTGAAAACCAGATACAAGAGAGATATGATAAGTATAGTGAAAACCAGAAAACAGTGTAAATTTCTGTTTTTTTTGACATTACACAATTTTACCCAGGATTAAAATTTTTTTAAAATGAACCTTATCTGAGAAAGCACGTTAAATATCTTATGAGAAATATTAGTTGCAACAATCGTAAATTACAAGATACATAGGAAATGTCTTAATTGAAAGAAATGACAAAGACAACATTCGTTCCATAGTTTTCCTTTTGTAAAGATTAAAATATTTACAGTCTGATGAAAAAATTAGGATGTTTCCAATTACTCCAAAAAGCTGAATTTAGACTCAAGCTCTTGTCAATAGTACACTGTAAACTACGCGCGTTTTTTTTAAAGTACCGGGGGCCCGAGTTTTAATTAAGAGAAATTTTTGTTTGTAGAATTTCTTTTTCCAGGGCTACAAAACAGTGTTAAAGGAAGATTCGGCCAAGGTTTTTAAGTCAGTCCTGTCTTGTTAGTTGGTTAATACTCAATAGGAACTGTGAGCGTAATCTAAAGTAACTCCCCATTTAACGAGGGGAATGCCTGATTCCCAACTGTCCCTGTGAACCTATTATCTGATCAACAATGTTAAAGATTTCTTCGTTTTTTTTACCTGATATACTTGGGTAATATGTCCAGGTCTTCCTCGTTATATTTAATCTAGAAATTGAGATATTCAAAATAATTTAAAAATTGTTTTGAAATCATTGAAAATTGACGCATCACTCCCACAAACTTAATTTTTCTAATCCTTTTATATCTTAACAGGATGGGGTACGTTCTACTTTTATATCTTAACAGGATGCGGGACGTTCTACTTTTATATCTGAACATGATGGGGTACGTTCTACTTTTATATCTGAACAGGATGGGGCACGTTCTACTTTTTTAACAGGATGGGGCATGTTCTACTTTTATATCTTAACAGGATGGCGCACGTTCTACTTTTTTATCTGAACAGGATGGGGCACGTTATAATTTTTTATCTTAACAGGATGGGGCACGTTCTATTTTTTTTCTTAACAGGATGGGGAACGTTCTACTTTTATATCTTAACAGGATGGGGCACGTTCTACTTTTTAACAGGATGGGGCACGTTCTACTTTTATATCTGAACAGGATGGGGCACGTTCTACTTTTTTAACAGGATGGGGCACGTTCTACTTTTATATCTGATCAGGATGGGACACGTTATACTTTTAAATCTGAACATGATGGGGTACGTTCTACTTTTATATCTGAACATGATGGGGTACTTTCTACTTTTATATCTTAACAGGATGGGGCACGTTCTACTTTTATATCTTAACAGGATGGGGTACGTTCTACTTTTATATCTTAACAGGATGGGGTACGTTCTACTTTTATATCTTAACAGGATGGGGTACGTTCTACTTTTATATCTTAATAGGATGGGGTACGTTCTACTTTTATTTCTGAACATGATGGGGTACGTTCTACTTTTATATCTTAACAGGATGGGGTACGTTCTACTTTTATATCTTAATAGGATGGGGTACGTTCTACTTTTATATCTGAACATGATGGGGTACGTTCTACTTTTATATCTGAACATGATGGGGTACTTTCTACTTTTATATCTTAACAGGATGGGGCACGTTCTACTTTTATATCTTAACAGGATGGGGTACGTTCTACTTTTATATCTTAACAGGATGGGGTACGTTCTACTTTTATATCTTAACAGGATGGGGCACGTGCTACTTTGATATCTTAACAGGATGGGGCACGTTATACTTTTTTCAGTTCGTTCTTTCATCGATCGTTATTTTTTGCTTCATTCGTTCACTGTGAAATTGTTATATTTACTTTTTTCGCTTGCTATTCAAATTAACGATCGTTGAACGAATATTTAGTTCGTTAATGAAACGATGTCCGACTCTAGGCCAGATGTCATAAACTTTTAATATTTCAAAAAAATAAATCTTCTAGATCAATTAGTCAAGGTGTGAAATATCAAAGACTTAAACTTTCAAGTTGCAAAGATGTAGGGATTAGAACATCGCAGTTTGAGGCAAGTTTTCATCTTTTTGTAACTAAAGGGACTGTTAAGATATTTTACAGGGTTGATATGATGGTTAAAATGGAAATTGCAAATCATTATCTGATACGTGAAGAAACTAACCTTTATTTTTATTACAGGAACCTTCTCCCATCCAGTAGTTCCCTGCCTAAACCCTTGATCCCAGTGCAACTTTATTCTAGGCAACACCGCCTTCCTCACATAGTTGTATGGATTCTAGATACACAAAGATACAAAGTTTTATGGATTCTAGATACACAAACATACATAGTTGTATGGATTCTAGATACAAAAACATACATATTTGTATGGATTCTAGATACACAAACATACATAAGTTGTATGGATTCTAGATACACAAACCTACATAGTTGTATGGATTCTAGATACACAAACCTACATAGTTGTATGGATTCTAGATACACAAACATACAAAATTGTATGCATTCCTAATATACAATAAAATAGCCTTTTATTTCTTATTGTTTTAATGAATGTCTTCAGGAAGTTCGTAGATGTTTTATAAATGCTTAAATGGAAAAAATTCCAAACTTCTAATACAATTATTTTTCATCATATAAAGATTAGCTTTTATTTGGAGTTATAGAACATTTTGTTATAAAAAAATGTAACTAAACTTTTTGTATTTTCCACAGAAATATTGACATCAAAATTTAAAAAAAAAAATTTATACAGTTTGCTGGATTTTTTTTATTGAAAATTTTTGCCGTTTTTATGATTAAATCTAATACTTTAATCATCTCTATATAAAGTAATAATCATTGAACATTATCATTGAATAAAAGGCACGAAATTATGTCAAAATGTCGACATAAAAACAAGATGCTTCTAGTAAATGTAGTGTGATAAAGTATGGTTTTTTTTAACATCATGTTTGTTAAATTGTATGTACCTATGTGTAACATTAATTGGAAAATAAATTTAACGTCTCGTAAAATTCCCCGAAACATCTGTCAAAAATCCTCAAGTCATTCATACTGATGATTGCATAAAAGCATGAAACAATTTGTTTATGAATAAAATGTAGGAAGATTGTTGAGTTTCAACTGATATAAAGTAATAATCTTTGTTTGTTGTATATCCGATCATAACTCAGGAAATTCAAAACCGATTTGCCTCTAATATGGCATGATTGGGTTTCTGGTTAAAACTGGTCAAACAATTAGTGTTTAATAAACGTAAAGAGAAAGATACCTTTGTAACAAGTATATCTGGAGTCATCAACTCAGAGGATAAATCTTTTATTGAAGAACGTCTAGCCTTGTAGGTTTCAACCTTCTGCTCCGCCAACTCCTCCACCTCCTCCTCCACCCTGCTCTCCACAAGTGCTCCAGCTACGCCCACCAGGTACTCAGTCTCCAGCAGGGATTGGGCGGTCATGTATTGCTCAGGTAGAAGATCTTTGGTAGTTTCTAGATTTGGCGGGAAATCATAGATTTGATGCGTTATATAAAGCAGGTCAGCATCACAGGAGAGTCTAACAATAGATCTATTATCATACATTTATTAGAAAGTTGAATTTAAAACATTGAATCTTATTTACAATAAAGTTTTTGTTCAAGTTGTATCCATTAACCTTCCCTGGGGTCAAGTGAGATCCCACAATAAAGGATTTGAGCCTTTTCCACAAACTCAAATTTTCTAGCTCCTATATCTTTGCTACCTGATAGACCTTTGATATTTCAAACTTAGATTTTTTGATCTAACAGAATTTATAGTTTGAAATGTCTAAAATTCATGACATTGTGTTGCAAAGATAAAGGGATTAGAAAATTAGAGTTTGTGGCAAAGACTCAATTCCTTTGGGCCCGATCGGTTCAGCCATTTTGACGTTTATTGGATGCAAACAGACAAACAAACCGGCAAAGAGACTGACAAGCAAATTATATAAATAGATAACTAATATTTTGTAACGGTTAAGGCTGAAAAATCTTGAAAATGTTTAGACGACGAAACTTAAATTCTAGGATAAGGTAGTATTGCCCAATTAAAGATTAAATCAATCTGTAGGTAGGTCTACTAAAGATGGAGGTCAATGCTTGATTCCGAGATAAAAAAATGTAAGTTTTGCTTGAGGGCACATTTTCGATCATAGTTTTTCTAATTAGAAAGCTGGTTTTGACTGAATTATTAAAAATAAAAATAATTTTTATCATTCTTAATTTTAAGTTTGACTGAGAACCGGAAAACTGTGGAATAGGCAGATGACTTTAAACGACTTGAGTTATGACTTTATAAAGTCAAGTGAACATGAACTTGAGTTATGACTTTATAAAGTCAAGTGAACATGAACTCGAGTTATGACTTTTTATAGTCTAATGAACACGAGACAGAGCAATTACAGGCTCATTTAACTCATTTAATAAGTTACCAGCAATACTAATTTTTGGGTTAACTCATTTAATAAGTTACCAGCAATACTAATTTTTGGGTTAACTCATTTAATAAGTTACCAGCAATACTAATTTTTGGGAAATAGACTTAAATATTACTTTAATGTCGTCTTCCTATAACGCAGTTTTCTGGTTCTCACTGTATGCATAAATACATAATTAGGTCTGGAATGAATTAAAAGTTTGATAATATACCTGAGTACAGAATCTAGGTTTTCTAGTTGTGGATAAGGGATATCCTCTGCTTTATCCAATAGTATCCTATCCTCAGATGCATAGCTTAGAGCCAACCTACTCTCACGCATAGCCTAGATGTATATATATATATATATATATATTAGAAAGACATCACAGTTAATGAGCTGAATTAGAATTGAATTAAAATATGATCTCCATCAAAGGACTTGAGTCTTTACCATAGACAAAAACTGTCTAATCCCCATAATTTTGTAACCTGATGGTGGAAACCTTTGATATTTCAAGCTTATATAATTTTATCTAACAGAATTCATAGTTTAAAATATCTAATGTTTACGACATTGGGCTGCAAAGATGTAGAGAATTTGTTGCAAAAAATCAATCTATTCATGAAATTGATGATATTTTGTAAAACAACATCAGATACACAAACTATTGCTAAAATGTGGTTTTCATATTTTACAGTTGTATGGGTTCCACTGTAGGTTTGAATAGACATATAAAAGAAAAAAAATTATCCCTAATTTAAATATCATAATTGTATCAACAACAACAAGGACCTAAAGGAAGGGGAAATGGAAAAAACGGGAGCAAGAGATTATATATTTTTTTAACATCAATTTGTCTCTTAAAAAGTACCGCTGGAGTTCAAGTGAATGGGGTTTGGATTGGCTTTACTCCAACTTTGAAATCTCACTTTATACACACCTTAGTAAAAGAATGCTTGTAAGCATTACATGTTCTAAGATAGGTTGGAATACCAACTGTTTTGAATCCTCCCCCGGCCGGAGACGTCTCACGAGATGATCTAGAATATTCCATAGCATTAATTATTATAGATTTATGTCATATATACAATATAGGGATGACAACAGTTAGTCTCTAAATTATATATTTTTTTAATATAAAGCATTTCCATTCTTAAAAAAATCTGAGAAGATAACTGGATATCGTAATTCAGTCTTATAGAAGTGGTGCAAGTTGCAACTGGCTCCCATTGCTGCTGAAAAGATTTATTCGAAATTCTTAATTGCAATTGACTAAATCAAAATTCAATTTTGTTATGATTCTTTTTCATTTTCAAAAATTCTATTTATAATAATGTTGTTGTCAAGCAAAGTGATTAAGTACCACTTTGGTTGTCAAGTACCTGCAGGAGTAGGAGGATATTGGAGATATTTCCCTGAGTGATCTCCGTCCGAACCTAGGAGTTGAATGGTTTGAATACCTGGAGTTGGGGTTTCCATTTTTCCGGAGGAAAAATCCATTTTAGAAATGGAATGATCCGGAAAATTATTCCACAAGATGAAATCCCGGGATAGTGCCGAAAAAAATGAATACAAGTTTCTATTACATTTCACATTAATTTACATTACATAGCCCTTTAACTATTTATAAATCTATTATCTAGACATAAGTATGGCATAGTACTTGTTTTATCTTTTACTTAAGCTTTTAGATACTATTCCGAACTTTCTTCAAAATGGGTTTTTTCCCAAAGTTGTTCCGAAACATTCACGATTTCCGAACAGTGTTCAGGAAATTTGTGGTTTACGGGAAAAAAATCGTTTCGGAATTGATCCAGAATTCTAGAACATTTTCCATAATGGAAATGGAAAAAAATTACGGATAATTTTTGTACGTTAAATGTAAACCGGAATATCTGTGGAAACCCTACCTAGAGTATGAGAACTCATCTGTTGGGAAAGAGGAGGGCATATATGATCTAGGCAACCTAGAGGTAGATGGGACGGATCTAGGAGGTTGGTAGGACCGTCGCCGTGTAAATGTTGGAGATCTAGGAGGTAGAGGCGGCATATAGGGGAGATCAAGGAGTAAATCAGATCTACTTATTCTACTTTCAGGTCTTGTGTAACTTAGATCTGTTCTACTAGATGAAAGATCAGATCTACTGGACGCAAGATATGTTCCACTTGACGCAAGATCAGTTCTACTTGACGCAAGATCAGTTCTACTTGACGCAAGATCTGTTCTACTTGACGCAAGATCTATGTGACTCGATAACAGATCTGAACTATTTGATATATCAGGAGTATACGCCCTGGCTTCTCCGTCCTGACTACCAGGATCTTTATCCCCAACATCCTCCTCTTCCTCCTCTCCAACCTTGAACTGATGAATCAAATATCTGGGTAGATGACAGATACTGTTCCAAACCTGCTCCAGAGTATCAAACTCATGTTCAGCAGTGTCTATATAAACCTAAAATTAAACTAATAAAAGAAATTGTTGTTGTCTCTATCTCCACGGGATATGGAAGAGAAATAGGATTAACCCGTATATAGATCTGTATAAGATGGAGATCGATGCTTGATCTCGAGATTCCTAACATAAAAATTCTGACTTCTGATCTGATAAAACCCCATATTTTGAGACCTGTAGTGGATACAATGAAATACATCAGACAGAAATAAAAATAATCAACCAAAAAATATTTTAATTTTAATAATGTTATGCACATAGTCATATGTTTTTACCACCTTTTGACCAACATTATCGACCTATGATTCCCCCAACAGAGGGACGTAAAGTTACTCTACGTCCCTTTGGACAATAAAGTAAAATAACAACCCGCTCTGCGAAGTTTTTGAGAAAAAAAATGTGCGCATTAGCATCTCTAAAGACGATAAAATTATATCTAACCACAGGTTCCCTTGACCAATTTTACCTACAAAACATTCTTCGCTGCGCTCTGGATGTTTTTTAGGCAAAATTGGTCTTGGAAACCTTGAAAAAGTAAAATTCCCTCAACTTCACTGTAAAGGAGTTGTAAATAATTAAAAAAAATTTCAATCGTTTGTAGAAATACGGATTTTATTATTCTTTTGTTTCAAATATCTTAGAAACTATTAAATTATATTTATCAGTAAAAACTGTAATTTTGATTTTAGGAGAACTTTTATTAAATGCATTTCCTTTAAAATTTTAAAACTTGAATTATAAACAATTTACATGTTTTTCTATGAGATGTTGGCTAAATAAAACTTTGTTATTACATCTACAGTAGAGGGTATAGCACACACCTGTTTAACTTTACGTTTACACGCCCAGGGAAACTTTTCTTCCAGTTTACTGATCCACCGTTCAAAGTTCCGTTTCTCTCTATATTAGATTTTACACGAATAGGATAATAGAGAAATAGTATTGCTGGGAATCGAGCATGTCACTCTATAAGGTAGGATTATTTAAAATTATCTTTATAATCTCTAATCTTCCTTGTATTGTCCTATCTGTATAATCTCTAATCTACCTTGTATTGTCCTATCTGTATAATCTCTAATCTTTCTTGTATTGTCCTATCTGTATAATCTCTAATCTTCCTTGTATTGTCCTGTCTGTATGATCTCTAATCTTCCTTGTATTGTCCTATCTGTGTAATCTCTAATCTACCTTGTATTGTCCTATCTGTATAGTCTCTAATCTACCTTGTATTGTCCTATCTGTATAATCTCTAATCTTCCTTGAATTTTCCTGTCTGTATAATCTCTAATCTTCCTTGTATTGTCCTATCTTTATAATCTCTAATATTCCTTTATTGTTCTATCTGTATAATCTCTAATCTTCCTTGTATTGCCCTGTCTGTATAATCTCTAATCTTCCTTGTATTCTCCTACCTGTATAATCTCTACTTTTCATTGTATTGTCCTATCTGTATAATCTCTAATCTACTGTATTGTCCTATCTGTTTAATCACTAATCTACCTTGTATTGTCGATCTTATCTGTGCAATCTCGTATAATATTTGTATTATCCTATCAGTATAATCTCTTATCCTATATGTATTGTCCTATTTGTATAACCTCTAATCCTACACGTATTATCCTCTCTGTATAATCTCTGATACTAAGAGTATCATCCTCTCTGTATAATCTCTACCACTTTTATTGTCCTATCTAAAGATTCTCGGATCCTACTAGTATTGTCCTATCTGTATACTCTATGCATGATACTACTTGTATTATCCTATCTGTATAATTTCTGATTCCTTGAGTTAGATTCTGAAGATACAACTAGGAGAACATTCTCCCAGAACCTTGCTCCATACACAGACTCAATACTGCTAAACATCTCCTCATGCTGAGACAGAAATCTGAAATTGGAAACATATGATTGCAGGGATCAGTGATTAGGATGCAGAGAACTAACATTTAATAAGAGTTTGATAATCAAAGATTCACAACACCCTTCTATATATTTACTTTGCTGTCTGTCTGGGTGTTTGTATCCAATAAACGTCAAAACGGGCCCACAATTTTGTGGGACCTCAGGAAGTAAAGGTTTATAGATGATAAAAATCATGTTCACAATTTGAAATAGAAGCGCTCTGAAGATCTAGTATTTTATAAAAGATGATAACTCTTTCAAGTTTAATAAGAAATGAAGAAATGAAGAAAAAAAGTAGAAATTTCTAGAAATACACGAGTTGCCCAGTAAAAATACAAGAAGAATGATAATATCACTATCATCAATTCTTTGATAAAAAAATAATAAATAATAATGAATAAATGAAATATATAATATCATTAAAACTTCAATTCATTTTTAATTGGATTGGATGAAGCTTTTAGTTGCCCATGGAAAACATTTTAAAAACAATATATTTTTAGAAAAATTAAATTTTTTTTTCGACTTGTTAGCCAATAACAAGCCCCCGGCCACTCATGAGTGTCCAATCGGTCAAGCCGTTTGGCCAGCTGTGCGCAACATATATATATGAAACTTCAATTTGATGGAGACTTATGATTGAAAAATACTGATTGTATAAAAACTATACCTAGATTGTCCACTACGAACTACAACAAGAAAACATGTTATATAACTAAACATGAAACAACAATTAGTAAAGAAGTTCGTTATCAAAATGCAAGGAAAAATCCAATCGGAAAAAATTGTTAGTTTGTTTACAACAGAATTAAACAATGACATGGATCATTCGTCAAACACTCCCTTTATTATAGGGTTTGAACCAAGACTAAGAGAATTCTTAAATGATATAGTGTTTTATCCAAAATCAAGTTTTTTATATCGTTCCGGCAATAAGACTATTTGGGAGAAACTTGATTCAAGCTGATATTTTTCAAGGTTGGAAACCCAGCTTTAACTGTAAAACAATCACAATATGATTCGACCATCATTCAAATAAAAGCTTTTAAACCAAACTCAGAACATTCCCACGTGGTTCTTCCGCGTTCCTCAATGAAAAGTTGAGGTAAATCGGTCAATTGAGTTATTATCGAAAAAACATACCAACAGAGATTAATTCAGTACTTTATAAATAAAAAGATGTTTGCGTTGTTTTAAATTGACTCGACAAGACAATGAGTGTGTAATAAAATATTTAAAGGAGAAAATATGTGTGCAATTCTGTTGTTTTAGTGATCTAGAAGTGTGGGGGGGGAGTATTCATGCAAGGGGGTGGGGGGAATTTCTTGCTTGACTTAGATTTAAGAATGTGAGTTAGGCGATCATTTAGTTTCAGCTCATAAACTGCAGTTATTATATCATATCTCGTTTTAGCTCAGATTTACGTGTTTGACACCCACTGCCCTTTCTCACGTCAGTGAGCCATGACGTCATAAAACTGCTTTACTAAATTTAGAAATAAACTCACATCAAAATTTTTCTTTTCATTTTTTCGAAATTTGAAAAAAATGTTTAAGTGTAAAATTTCATTTCTCGTAATATTTTAGTTGTTTTTCTACTGAAATTTCTAACACAAGGAGAAAGGCATAGATTGACGTTTCTCTAGTTTAGACCGAACTGTTGTTTCTCTCTGATATTCTTTGGGTTTTTTTATTTGTTTATTTATTTTGTTGCATAAATTCTGACAAAGGGTACAAATCAATACACATGCCTACATACTCGTGGAACATGGGCTACGTACATAGATTTAGGAGTTGTACCAAGAATGGGGTCTGCAGGCTTTGTCAATTTTATGAAACTTTACACTAAAAATAATATTTATATATATCCAAATCATATTTTTAATACTTGTTTTCTAATATATATATATATTTATATTTATATATATTTATGTTTATGATATAAAATATATAAAAGGTGAAGTTTTAAATGATTTACCTCAATTTTTTTCGGCCCGGGCCGGGTTTTAAAATAACTTTAGTGAGTTGACCTTTATCATGGTTTAGATCAGATTTCTAGGCAAAGCTGGGTTCCTGAACCAATATATAGATGACAGTATACTATCTAGGTGTCAAATAAAACAGGTTTGCTTGCCATTGTGTCATATTTACTAGGTTGGTATGAATTTAAAAAGAACAAATTTTTCATTGTTTCACACACATGTCTAAAACTGTATGTCTTATTTGCTAAGACTATTGTTGTATGTTCCTGATTTGTTTAACAAGGTTGAGAATATCCTGGAGAATCCTGAGATCTGACTCCTTGGTTCCTTGAGAGCAGAGACCTGGAGTATCCAGGAGTATTATCTCACGACCTGGATCCCCTCTCCAGCAACCACTGGACTCCTAAAGAATATCCAGGAGTATTATCTATCTATCCCTAAACTCCACTAGACTCCTTAACAATATCAAGGAGTATTATCTATCTATCCCTAGTATCCACTAGACTCCTTAACAATATCCAGGAGCATATCTATCTATCCCTAGTATAAATTACACTCCTTAAAAATATCAAGGAGTATTATCTATCTATTCCTAAACTCCACTAGACTCCTTAACAACATCAAGGAGTATTATCTATCTATCCCTAGTATCCACTAGACTCCTTAACAATATCAAGGAGTATTATTTATCTATCCCTAGTATCAACTAGACTCCTTAACAACATCAAGGAGTATTATCTATCTATCCCTAGTATCCACTAGACTCCTTAACAATATCAAGGAGTATTATCTATCTATCCCTAGTATCCACTAGACTCCTTATAAATATCAAGGAGTAATATCTATCTATCCCTAGTATCCACTAGACTCCTTAACAATATTCAGGAGTATTATCTATCTATCCCTTGAATCTACTAGACTCCTTATAAATATCAAGGAGTATTATCTATCTATCCATAGTATCCACTAGACTCCTTAACAATATCAAGGAGTATTATTTATCTATCCCTAGTATCCACTAGACTCCTTAACAATATCAAGGGGTATTATCTATCTATCCCTAGTATCCACTAGACTCTTTAACAATATCAAGGAGTATTTATTCGTGTACCTGTGATTGTACTGTACAGGGTTCAGGTGTGCATGTACCTGTGATTGTACTGTACAGGGTTCAGGTGTATATATACCTGTAATTGTACTGTACCGATGGTTCAGGTGTATGTGTACTTCTGAACGTACTGTACCTATGGATCAGGTGTACTTATACCCGTGATTTTACTGTACAGGGTGCAGGTGTACTTGTACCTGTGATGTTACTGTACAGGGTTCAGGTGTATATAACTGTGATTGAACTGTACAGTGTTCAGGTGTACCAGTATCTATGATTGTACCGTACAGGGTTCATATGTATATGAACCTGTGCTTGTACTGTAATTGTACTGTGCCTATGGTTCAGATGTACTTATAACTGTGATTGTACTGTATAGGGTTCAGGTGTATATGTACCTGTGATTGTACTGTACAGGGTTAAGGTACCTATATATACCTGTAATTACTATACAGGGTTTAGGTGTACATACCTGTGATTTTACTGTACAAGGTTCAGGTCCTTCTCCTTCTGGGAAGAAAACCTGCTTTTCTCCAGGTATGTTTAAAAGTAGGTTCAGGAGATTTGATTTTCCGCTTCCTGATTCTCCTGAATAGACGGAAATATTTCTTTATTTTATTCTGTTTTTTTATTTTTTATTATTCTATTAGCTTGGAAAATGTTTAAAGAGTATTTAACTTCTTTCGGTAGTTTAAAGGTTGTAACGATAAAAATTTAAAGTCCTCACAAACAAAATTGAGTTGCCACAAACCCAAAGGAATTAAGTCATTGCCACAAACTTTTATTTTTTAATCCCTTTATCTCAACAAGCCAATGTTGTAAACCCTATGATATTTCAAGCTATGAATTCTGATGAATCAAATAATTAAAGTTTGAAATATCAATGGTTTACGCCATCTGGTTTTAGAGATGTAGGTATTAGAAAATTGGGATTTGTGGCAAAGACTCAATTCCTTTTCTCATTTTAATATATATATATACAATCTGATGGTGTAAGTCTTTGATATTTCAAACTTGGAATATTTGACTTTACAAAATTCATAGTTTGAAATGTCTCAGGGGTCTACAACATTGGGTTGCAAAGATATACATATTAGAAAATCAAAATTTATGGCAAAGACTATTTATATTAATATTAAATCTAAATCATGATTTTACGAAAAGATTCAGATCTTTTTTCCCACCTGTACATTTTAGCAAGAAGCTGAAATTATTCAAATATTTTATGAAGAAAAAATGGAATACATAAACCAAGTTGCCTTTTTCTACTTAAGAGTATACAAAACTAAGATAAGAAAAGATAAAGTTTATTGCTAAAATACATGTATCTGTGTACAGAGCGAGTTCACAATTACAAATTGATGATTATATTAACAGTACAAGTATAAAGCAATTAGGTGGAAAATAGCTCTTGGCTGTTTTGATTATTTTTTCCACCTAATTTCAATTATGATAACAACACATTTTAATTAAATAGATTTAAGGAGAACTATTAGAGATCAGAGATAGATAGAAAAAAAGATAGAAAGAAAGATTGTAAGAACACTCTCCACTAACCGCTACTATATCTTCGGTAAATGTACTGCAATATACTGCAGAACGCACAGTAAGCCGGCTCAGTCACATTTGCCATAGTACTTTTACCATAATTACACTTGACGTAATTACACTTGCCATAATTACACTTGACATAATTACACTTGCCATAAGTTTTTGCCATAAGTAACACTTTCCATTAACACTTTCAATAAGTTACACTTGACATAGTTATTTTTGCCATAATTTTCTTCTCTAAAGTTAAACATCTAACTATTTTTTCTGTAAATGCGTTAAATTTTTTCATGAAAATTCCCAACTTTAGTTTTCTTACAATGCTGCCGGGAGAGATATGAACACTAATACTTGAAGATAGAGCTTGGTGAAGAATCAATGACAATACAATACATTTCCAATAGAGCATTAACTTAACCTTATATACTACTCATGTCCCTCATTTAGATTTGTTAATTGTAGTTACAAGTTATAATTGTAGTTGAACAATAAAAAATGAAACTGAGCCCGTAGGCTTAGTTGAGGGTGAGAAAGATAGAAAGAGAGAAAAAATAGATAGATTGATAGAATTAAACAGAAAGATAGAAAGATAGAAAAATAGAAAGATAGAAAGATAGAAAGATAGAAAGATAGAAAGATAGAAAGATAGAAAGATAGAAATGTAGAAATATAGAAAGATAGAAAGATAGAAAGATAGAAAGATAGAAAGAAAAAAAGATAGATAGATAGAAAGAAAGAAAGATAGAGAGATAGAAAGATAGAAAGATAGAAAGATAGAAAGATAAAAAGATAGAAAGATAGAAAGATAGAAATGTAGAAAGATAGAAAGATAGAAAGATAGAAAGATATAGATGTAGAAAGATAGAAAGATAGAAAGATAGAAAGATAGAAAGATAGAAACACAGAAAGATAGAAATGTAGAAAGATAGAAAGATAGAAAGATAGAAAGATAGAAAGATAGAAATGTAGAAAGATAGAACGATATAAAGATAGAAAGATAGAAAGATAGAAAGATAGAAAGATAGAATGATAAAAAGATAGAAAGATAGAAAGATAGAAAGAAAGAAAAATAGAAAGATAGAAAGATAGAAAGATAGAAAGATAGAACGATAGAAAGATAGAAATGTAGAAAGATAGAAAGATAGAAAGATAGAATGATAGAATGATAGAAAGATAGAAAGATAGAAAGATAGAAAGATAGAAAGATAGAAAGATAGAAAGATAGAAAGATAGAAAGATAGAAAGATAGAAAGATAGAAAGATTTAAACATAGAAAGATAGAAACGTAGAAAGATAGAAAATAGAAAAATAGAAAGATAGAAAGATAGATGTTAAGTAAAAGATTGAAACAGTTGATTTAACCTTGGCAAAGCTTCATAACAGTTTCCAAAGAAATAGAGGAAAACAAAAAGCGTGTTGTGAGAATACTAAGATGATATATAAGATTCACTTCTATTCGACGAACTATAGTACATTAATTTAATATATTTATTATATTAGGATAGGACAAAGAAGGAAATGGAATATTTCAAATCTTTAAATGTGTTAATTTTTCATTAATATTCTTTTTTGGTTTTCGTTGAAAACATTGAATTTTGACAGAATTGTTGGAAAAGGAATTGAGTATGTGCCACAAACTCAAATTTTCTAATTCTTATATCTCTGCAACCTGATGTTGTAAACCTTTGATATTTCAAACATTAGTTATTTAATCTAACAGAATTTATAGTTTGAAATACCTAAGGTACCTACGACATTAGGTTGCAAAGATATCGGGATTTGAAAATCAGAGTTTGTGGCAAAGGCTCAATTTCTTTCTTGGTTTTTATTAAGCTGCCTGCATTACAAAGAAACTGAAAAAACTCTGATTTGTTAACCCCTATATCTGATGATGAACCTGATGATGATTATAAACATCCTTACCCAGTGCAAGAAGAACAAGTCGTTCATCGTTTGGAAGTTTAACCATTCTATGTTTTGAACCTATGTTTATCTGAAAAAGATAAAAACAACAGATATTTGGAAAACTAAAAAGTCTAAAACTATAAATTATTGTTAAGATATTATGCTTAAAATTTCTTTACTTTGTTTCCTGAGATGAATTGCTAAATTCCTTTCTCAACTATTAACCCTGAACTTATCATTTGATACGTAATAATCCTCCACATTTCAGATTCAAGGTTTATGTTAAAGGGACTGTAAGCGTAATTTTAACTTGCTCTTCATGCAAAGATGGCAATGCCAGAGTTCAACAGTATTCTTTAAAACTTTGAGTGATCAAGTATGAATTAGATTTGATTTTCTTATGTGATATGCGCATTTTGTGCTTCGAGAAAACAATGGAGAAATGCACAGAAATAATTTGGGATCGCCATCTTTGAGTGGAAGGTCACTTAGATTTCCGCTTATAGTCCCTTTAATGCAACTAGACTGGAGCAGAAGAAGGTCAAATTTATGTGACGTTATTGGAACGACTTTGTGATCTCGTAGCTCCTCTAGTTTTAATTCTATGTACAAGGATGTGAACAACAAAAGTGTTGAAAACAATCTTCAATTTTCTAATCATTGTTAGCTAATAATGTAGTTCTTTGTTATTTCAAACTACAGCTAATATCTATCTTAATAATTCATAGTTTGAAAAATTATAGGTCTACAACCATTACGTTGCTAAGATAAAAGAATTAGAAAATTTATTAGAAAT